ATTACAAATCATGTACATGCCCGTGAGGCCGGCCAAGGACAAAACCAGACTGCGGGGTTTGATAAGAGTGTGCGAAACCCCGCAGTCTGGTTTTGTCCTTGGCCGGCCTCACGCGCATGTATATGATTTGTAATTATAAATGTTTTCGTGTGTGTTTATGTGTATGTGTGAAATAATTTTGACGATGGCTTATGCAAGAGAATATGTTTGACATTTGACGACTGAAGAGAAGATTTGAAAATGGGGTTTTAGCCCGGGAACTATAGTCATCGAAGACAATAGAGGACTGATTGACGACAGGTTAGTAACCTCATTTTATGTCAATAGCCTGGAGGCAAATTATGAATAAAATGTGGGGTAATAGCTCAGGAGCTCACCGGGTCTTTACATGGCAAAAGAAGGCTCTCAGAATTATGTTTGAAATTCTAGATAGGGTTAGTTGCAAAGCATTTTTTGCTGAAAATAGAATCATGACACTCTCTAATATTTCAATTTTTAACAATTTAGTTTCCGTTAAAGACAATCTAAATACATTTGTTCCTTGCAACTCAATCCATGGGTATATCACCAGACAATCAAAAGATTTATATATTCCTCAAGCCAGGCAAACAAAATTTATCAAAAGTTATAAATATTTGCAAATAAAACTATTTAATAAACTTCCAATATATTTTAGAAATCAGGAAATACACCATGTTTCTCTTTTGATGGCTCATCTACAGACCAAACCCTTTCTTTAGACACCTCTACCAAGTTTATACGCCCAGCAGTTCTCTCAAATTAACTGTCACAAAGAAAAACAGTTTCAAATTAATATATAGATTCATTTGTAGGCTATTAATAGGTCAAAATTATGAGACTGGCTTACAAGTCGTGCTTTTTATTCAGTCGATTAGTTTTTGCAGAATGTAGATTTTTCAACTCTTAAATGTGAGGCCAAGTAGTCTTGACGATTCTTTGTTCTTGTTAAGTTTTTTTCCCAGTTAATTTCAAAGTTTTTTATTATTATTGATGCTTTATCCTTTTAAGATTCATTTAACTTTATTTTAACACTAGCTGTAACCCGCGGGCTTTGCCCCGTTTAACTTCTTAATTTTCAAGATTATCTCGTTCGCATGGCTCAATCACGTCCTGGTTGAAGTTTGTTCGCTACGCTCACTCACCTTTAGGTTGGAGCTCGTTCGCTACGCTCACTCACCTTTAGGTTGGAGCTTGTTCGCTGCGCTCACTTGCCTTCGGGTTAGCTCGTTCGCTACGCTAACTCGCCTCATTGTAATTACATCAGATTGTAATTTTTATATTACCAAATGACAATAAAGATTTATTATTGTTATTAATATACGCATTAAGCTTGTGTTACGGCCCTGCCATAGTACGGTAATGTTGTGGTAGAAACGGGAGGCCCTCCAACCCAACATGGCCGAGGGAGCCCTAGTGGTAGAGAGCGGAGGTAGATAATTGTGTCTGGACCTCCTCTCTCTATCTTAGTTGTCCTTTATCCAAAGTATACCTTAAACCTTTTTCCAACCCACTGGCCTGGTTTCCTTACTATCTTCCCATCATCCAGCTGGCTGTTATCAACGCTTCATCAGAGAAGAAGAGCTGTATTCTACTAACTATGTAAGTATCTATTCAAGGAATAACAGTCATAGGGAGTAGAACCTTAGTGTTAGCTAGAAACTACACTAAATATAGTGGAGCCACAACACGTTACATGAACATCATTAGATCTTGAAGAAGACAAAAAAGGCTATATTTTACAAGGTTGTTTGATTGCTATGGGAAGATTTGTTATGTTAGGATCTAAACCTTTTTAAGTCCAAAACGTGTAATATCCGCACTTAACACTTACGGCTGAACTGAACCACAATTGCATATTTTAGAGCTCAAGGAGAGTAAACCCATAGAAAAAATGTTCAGCGAATAAGGTTTTAAGTGAAATATCCTAATTATATTTTTAACTGCTATTTAGTGAAAGTACAAAGATAACTGTCTCTTCAGGATTTGGAAGAAGCTACAAAGACTGGCTTTTTACACACATATTACTGTTTTAAGAATTAAACTATTGATCATTGACAAACTATGTTAACCAATTCTACAACTTAAAACAGGTTGCACTCAGTGACATAGCCAGGGGGGGGGTCCTGGGGGTCGCCCCCCCCCCCTTCCGGTCTTATAATATTTTTTTGTTAAATTAAATGTAAAATTATATAATCATACTATATTCACGTTGGGGTTGATTATTTTCAATGCCAAGAGAGCTTAAAAGGACCGTTTTAGGGCCTTAATTTTTAAAATTTTTCCCGGATCTCCCGGCCCCCGGTCGGTCGACCCCCCCTATTTTGAAATCCTGGCTACGTCACTGTTGCACTGTCTAAAATAGGTAATTAGAAGTAAGTTTCGGTCAAGTTGGTATACCATTTAAGAATTCTTTGATACTGTTTCAGATCTTTTAATGAGTGTCAACTTTAGCAAGAATCTACTTAAGCGAGAGTCTACATTAGTGAGATGATTGCATAGCGGTAGTACAAAGTCTGGCCTTTCTTTGAACTTCCTTTGCAAACATGTTGTCATCAGCTGGCATGTCTTCTGTAATTCTAAGGTAATTTTTAGCATTTCTTGTAGGTAGCTGAATGTGTAAATCATTTATGTTTACAATAAGTAACAGTTAAAATAGAAAATATTTTAAAAATGTAAATCCATAGGTTTTTAGATAGATTTACTTGAGCGACAGAACCAAATGATAATTTTGGTCAGATATAAGACCGCACGCGGACATCGGTTTGCGCTATGTTTTGATGAGGTATTTGGTATTAATTAAATAATTAGCCGAGCAACATTTAAGTTACCAGTAGTTGCAATGAAATTCTCTATACCATAAGAATCCCTAGAAACTGTTAGAGTAACTGGAATGCACTGTTTCTAATATGAAAGAAAAATATTGAAAAATTCGTATAGTCCTACTAGTAAATTATATCAAATCAAATTACCATTTATATCGCAAAAAGGAACTAGGCCTTTGCGAAATTATCACCCACAAAGGAGAATTTATTTACTCCTGTGTGTGGAAGAGCTAGTCGTTATATTTTTTAAGATTTTTTAAAATTTAGGGATGAAAAATTAGATTTTTGAACAGTTAAGAAGCTACGCTGGAGGGCTGAGTGATTGGTGGCAGACATGACAACTGAATAAAATGCAAAAATTTTCTCTCCTCCCCCTCCATCCTTTCCCGAAAAGACAAATTAGCTATGTAAAAATTGAATCCCAGTGATCAAAAGCATACCTTGATTTGGTTTCTATAGTTCTTGTATTTGTTTCTCTTTGCAGTATATATTAGTAGAGATTACATCTGTTTAGTATCATGATTATTTGTTGTTTTATATATGTTCTTAGTGTAAATAATATTGTAAGTAAATAGTTAACCAATTCATGTCACATTTAAATTCAACGGTCTTCCTGCTAGGCTATACTTGTCGGCTTTTAGCACAGAGTCATAAACCTAGTCCTTCTGCGAAATGACGGGCCCTTCCTCACCAGTTCTTAGAAAGTTGTAACCCCAATCTGAATGAGGGAGGTGCCTTTTGTGAGTGCATCGACGAGCAGGACATTGTTCGGTTAGCATAGCTTCATATAGGACGTGTGAGGCAGTTCCTTCCACGTATTTCACATTTAGTTAAAACCGCATTAGTTCATTATAGCAATTTATTTCATCACAGTTCAATTATACAGTCCACTAATATCATTTGTTCATTTCTACATCAATAAAAGCATAGTTCATTTTCAAAGTGTTAGTTTTTTATTATTACCAAAACATTGGCGAAACACGCGCCGCAACAACATCATTATAGATAACGTCAGTTTGTAAACAAATCGGCATATTAATCGAAAATGTAAACCAACAATTAAATAGAAGCCATGATAAATTAAAATTACCAAGAACTGTACAAGAATCAGGAGGAAACTGTACAAGGAAATCACTGTACAGTGTGTAAATTAAGTCTTGAAACAAATCTGTATTTTTAAAACCGAAATAGTTAGAAATATTCTGTTTGTGGCGTTGATTGCTAACAAAGGTTCCGTAATTTTTTACATCAAAAATATTTTTTAACCTCCCTAAAAGGGGAAGGGGGTAGGGGGTGACTTATTTTTTCAAAAAGCAACCCCTATTGAGTGACCAATCATTTTGAAGGATTTGTCAAAAGAAACACTATGACGGAAACCCGATGTGGATATCTCACCCCTAGGCAAAATGGCAGGTATTCCAAAATTTAATTTAGGCCTACTGTATGTGAAAATCACCAATTTCACAAATAATGGAAACAAATCTGTGTAGGCCTATTTTTAAAACCGAAATAAATAGAAATATTCTGTTTGTGGAATTGATTTTTAACATAAGTTCCACAATTTTTTACATCAACAATATTTTTTAACCTCTTTAACAACGGGGTGGGGGTGACTTATTCTTTAAATAACAACCCCTACTGAGTGACCCCTCATTTTGAAGGGTTTGTCAAAAGAAAAACAACGACGCAAAGCCGAGGTAGATATTTCACCCCAAGCCTAAATAGCAGGTATTCCAAAATTTAATCTAGGCCTAAATGTGAAAAAGCACCCATATTGGAATACCCGCCATTTTAGCTAGGGGTGAGATATCTACCTCGGATTTGCGTAGTTGTGTTTCTTTTGACAAACCCTTTAAAATTAAGGGTCACTCAATATGAGTTGCTTTTTTGAAAAAAATTAGTCCCCTCACCCTGTTAGGGGGGTTAAAAAATATTTTTGATGTAAAAAATTGCTGAACCTTTGTTAACAATAATTATTGCCACAAACAGAAAACTTCTATCTATTTTGGTTTTAAAACTACAGATTTGTTTCAAGACTTAATTTACACACTGTGCAAATCGTATGTAGGCTATATTAAATATAATTCCAGATCTAGTTGACATAAAAGATTATATAGATGAAAGTGGAAAGTGTATAATATATTTAATTTGTCTAACCTCTTGACTTGCATTGTTGAAGGCACATCACTTTGGTGTCCCAATCACAGCAAAGTGTATCAAGGGATGATGCCACTGTATGCTGTACCACTTCGACCTCCTCCAACACTTCAGTCAATCAGGTGGATATCCAACGTTTATTCTAATTGAAACAAAATAATCAACAGTTTAACGAGGTTTATATAGCTACCTATTTTAAATTATTACTTTTGATGCCATCAGAATGTATAATGTATATTGTTTTGACAGAAGTATCTGTAGGCTACGGTAATTCTATGACAGTTTGAATTATTCAAGCAGTGTGCTATTCACAACTCGACTGAAAAATCAACAACCCAACACATTTTATTGTACAGTACAGTAATATGTTTTTACCAATTTCGCAAATTTGAATAAGAGTTTTCTTTATGACTTGAGTAAATGATTGTACATAAAATGCACTGGTATATTGCACATGTCCATTTGATTACTGAACACGTTTTAAAATTATTTATAAAATTCACCGATAATTAGGTATTTTACATTAAGTTAAACCAAAATGGCCCTTTTCAGCAAAATCGGTCATTTAAATATGGTTGAAAATCTGATTGAAATGCTGAAAGCCCAAGTAAAAAAAAATAGAGCACCCGCATTTTAACCTGAGGAGTTGCCTGGAATCTCCCAGTATGGGTTAAACAATGAATTGGGGGGGGGGGAGGGATTCTGCGACATGGGCCTGGGGGGGGGCACCCCTGGTTAGGGCATTAGGCTAGTTGAACATTAAGAGCTTCATTTTCATTGAAATTGTTTGAAAATTATCTAAAGATAGATAATGATAGCCAGTAAAGATAGGTAATGATTTGATCAAATGTAAAGTAGGCTTTGTCTTCAAGTGAACTTTGGAAGTACTGATCAAATGTTTATCAACAATAAGGGATAAGCTATGAACTTGTTTTTGTGGATAGTAGCCTAGTAAGTTACCTACTATCAAAACAGTTCATTTACAAAAATCATGTTTTGAGACTGTGTCACGGTTGAAGGACATCAGTTCTAGCTTAGGCAATTTTTCAATAGGCTCTAGGAGTAGCTAAAACTATAGGGTTGGTTTGAGGTTGTTGAAGTGTTCATCTTTAGAGTTCTGAACCTAAAGAGATTTCAATCGGAATATTTACTATTGAGAGTTCTGATAGTTCTTCCTGACTCCTGAGGCTTCAAAATAGCTTCTTTTTTGCCAGAAAAACGTCAGTGTCATCATAAAAAGTAAGAAGTATAAGTAGGCCTAGCTCAAATTAGAAGATACCTAGTGTTGGCTGTTCGCTCCATCTAAGTTAAGTTTAAGTTTGGCGTTTGAGCCGCGGTTATTTCTGAAGGACATGATTGAATTTAAGTTTAGTCACTGATAGCATTCAATGTTTCAGAATATTTTGAAAAACTCATTTATAAAGCTAGGTCTACTCAAAGAGTAGTCTACCATACCTCAGCAAGTTATTATAGGCTAGGCTATTGTAAATAGTTTGAGTTAGAGCATTGACTATGTTGGAGGTATTAGAGAAGGACAGATCAGGGTTAAATAGAGGTTTCTTACAAACTTAATTTCTGATAATATATTGAATAAACTTACGATGAGATGCGATGAGTTTTTTTCATTGACTTTGAGATATAAACATAACCCTACTTTACAGTTTAGAATAAATTTACAGTACATGACTTGTATCATCATTGACCACATCATTGACTAAAGAAAACAAGAGCTGAAAAATATGAAGCAATGAATATGGAATAGCAGAAAGAGAATGGGTGAAGCAAAGCGATGATAAAATTATTGTGTACAACGAGGAATAACAACAGGACCTAAGTGTGTTGTACGACGACAATATTATTCCAATTCCGTGTGCACATAGCGTCCACACTCCACACTACCACACTAGTGAGTTTTATGACTATCCGCACCGTCGTGAAGTTAGCGGCTCTTTTCATCGGCGCTTTTTCGGATTGTAATAGATATGGGTTGGTACGCCTGCGGACGCCAAAAACGTGTTTTTCCTACTGTCACCCGACAAAGTTGGCTTCCTAGTACTGTTTAATAGTACAGAAAGCTGCTAATTACTGCATATTTATACTTTGCCGTACGGTTTATACTTTGTCGTACGGTTTATACTTTGCCGCACATCAGGATTCCAACGAAACAACACAAAACAGCGTGGTTCTATTATACACGTAATCCGTGTACGCTTGGAAATAGGTTTTTTTTTAGGGAGAGGTGGGAAAATAAATTTATGCATACAGGTGGCTAGCCTGTAGTGTGGGACTCCAACGGGCTTAAGGCCCAGAGACTACCCACTAAAAACCTCCTCTACTCTTCGGACATTAGCCTGGGAACACTTGTCGCACTTCATCAGAACTAGGCCGAGTTTGCCTACGCCCGAGGGGCTTACGCCGTGTCTAGCCGTTTATTTCTTATAAAATCTAGACTGTGATCCGATCTATATCGTTCTTTTTAGCCTGAAGGACATTCCGGACAAAGTGCGACCAACAGTCCCAGTTGTCCTCACCCTTCAGCAAGGTCTCACAAATCGATTCAATCGACAGCACCCCAAGATGTTGAATGGCCACCTGGCGAAGCATATCCCATCGTGGACAGCGGAAAAAAGTGTGTTCCGCGTCGTCAGGAATGCATGGGCAGTAAATGCAGTCAGGTGAATTCGTTTTGGCCATCAAGTGCAGGTACGACTGAAAATAGCCGTGACCTGACAAGAACTGCGTGAGGTAATAGTCAACCTCACCGTGCCGCCGTTCCACCCACGGTTGGACCTGTCTGATGAGTCTGGCATTCCAACGTCCTCGAGTCTCCCTTTCCCAGCTATCTTGCCACATCTGAAAAGTGCGGGAGCGCTATTCCGTTCTTGCAGCGTCCTTTCCGATGTAGCCTTGTCTCTGGTAGATTGCCTTCCTCTCCGCTGCCAAGAGTTTGACAGGGATAACTCCAGCAATCACCAAAATGGCCGGTTCGGACACCGTACGGTACGCGGAAGCGACCCTGAGTGCCGCCTGACGCTGCACTCGTGCGAGCCTCGACCTGTACGCCTCCTTGTTAAGCGCGTCTGCCCACACCTCAGAGCCGTAGAGAAGCACAGACTGGACTGCAGACATCAATAGTCTTCTACGGCTGGACCGGGGACCACCGACATTGGCCATAAGCCTACTAAGAGCAGCGACACTCCTAGCAGCCTTGTCCGCCGTACGGAAGATCTGGTCCCTCCAGCTCAACTTGTTGTCCACCATGACACCGAGGTACTTGGCGGTTCGCGTGGTTTGGACAACTACGTTCCCAACGCGTAGTGGAACGATGGTTTCAATCCGTTTTTTCGTGAGGATGACGATCTCTGTCTTGCTCAGAGCTAGTGTCAGACCATGATCAGCCATCTAGGCATTTACAACGCGCATGACTTGGTTCAGTTTCAGTTGGGCTAGCTCAACGTTGCGTGCAGCAATGAGGGCTGCAACGTCATCGGCGTACCCAACTAAAACGGTCTCCTCTGGCATCTCAGATCTCAGAAGGCTGTCGTAGGCAGCGTTCCACAAATCTGGGCCGAGTATCGAACCTTGCGCGGCACCGGAAGTAACATCCATCGTCCGCAAACCATCTTTAGTTTCGTAATTAAGAGTTCTACAGCGCAGGTGTAGTCCTCGATCAGCCTCAACAGATATGCTGGTACGCGGAAGCTGTTCCTCAACGCGCTCAACATATCGACCCATATCGCCGAGTTAAAAGCATTCTTGACATCTAGCGTAACAAGAAGCACGACACGGCGAGAGTAATGATTGAAGCTCTCGGCACGCTCTACCGCTCTGTGTACCTCGGATATCGCGTCGATTGTTGACCGACCCTTTCTGAAGCCTTCTGACGAGGAGACAAATCTCCGGCAGCTTCCACGGCAGACGTCAGTCGGCAGCGGATCAGTTTCTCGGAAAGTTTTTGGAAATAGGTTGGCAACACCATAGACTTAGGTTGGCAACCATATAGACTTGGCCTTATAGCTTCGTAATTTAAGGGACTGTCTCAATCATACTCATACTGATTATTGTACACGCTTTATTTTACTATTTTAATAGCTCAAAGTTGATGTGACGGGCTTAGGAAAAAGATTGTGCACTTCTTCCTGGCGCAAAATTCCTATCAACCATATAGATTTTGCCATATAGCTTCGTAATTTACTGGACTGCCTCAGTCATATTTAAACTGAGTATTCTACACATTGTATATTACCATTAGAATAGCTCAAAGTTGATGTGATGGGCTTAGGAAAAAGATTATGCACTTTTTTATGTTCGGAGTTTTAATTAAGGTATGCGTTAAGCTATCAAGAGTCCTCCATCTCCTTAGAAAACTTAGGCCTGAAATTCCCGAAAATTCTCTTCTGACAGTGTAATATGCATTATTCCACAGCCATGTAACATGGGCTAGTACTGTGGGGGCACTCCTCAGCGGCTGAAGATGTGCTGCTCTTGCAAAAGGCAGCCTTGAGGATCATAACATCTGCTGGCTACTTAGAACACTTCAAGGACCTGGGAGTCCTTACAGTATACAGCCAATATGTGCTGGATATACTGACCCTATTGAAGAGCAACTTAAAGGCTCACCTTAGGAGAGAGGAGGTACATGCACACCACACTAGGAGGGCCCAAAACATAGATTTTCCCCGCTGTCGTCTCAGCCATACCTCGAGTAGATATCCACGCTCAGCCATAAGAATTTTCAATACGCTGCCTACTCGAGTGCGGGAGATGGATGCGCCCTCTTTTAAGAAGTTATTAAAAGATGTATTGATCAAAAGGCCGATGTACTCCTTAAAGGAACTTGAGGATGAGCCCCTTTGTTAGATAAGTTTCTGTCCGCCTTGCCAATAGTAAACGGCCAAGTTAAGTTTAGTGACTCAGTATAATTACTGTAAATAATGTACATAGTTTTTATTTTTATCAGTAACAATATAACGCAATCTATCAGACTAGTTCTGTCAAGGATGAAGAATTCAAGTATACAAGTAAGTAAGTAAGTAATTGATCGCGTTATGTTAAGCTATAGCTACGTATAATGTACAGTACGGTCTCAAATATGCCTTTTAAAATACGTCAATTAATTAGTTTTAACGTGTATACACGTTTTATAAAGGTATAATTGGCATTATATAAATGTAAAAACATTATTTCGCGCCGTATTGTCATTAAATTGCGTTTCCGACATCCCTGCAAAACACGTTTGTGGCGTCCGCAGGCGTACCAACCCATTTCTATTACAACCCGAAAAAGCGCCGATGAAAAGGAAAAGAGCCTCTGCCGCTAACTTCACGACGGATTTAGGAGGCATTGCATCGGCAGTATCTATCTATCATTTTGCTCAATGAGTCCATAATAGTGATCGTGATCAAGAAAGACGAAATAAGAAACTTGAGCAAATAGACATTATCTTATAAGTTTTTCATGTGATTAAATGGTGTTTGAAATTTCCAGTTAGCATTTGAAGTGGCATTATAAACTTGTACAAAATGATAACCCGGAACAGTCTCCTCCACAGAATTTAAAACGTTTCATTAGTGGTAGGCTATGTTTTCGGAAGGTGCGGCCATGTTAACTTGTGCTAAAACATATTAGAACCCGTCGAACTCGATTTTGGATAATTAATTGAAGTTCAGAATGCCATGCAATTTGAAAACAAGATATTTGCCAGCTACCTTTGCCTGGACGCTATTGCTTGGGACCACAGCAGCATTCTTTTACTTCCCGTAAGTGTTATAAATTTACTACTGATAATGCCCTACTTTAGCATACAATTGCATTATACGTATAAATTATTAGATTTGAAGGCCAAGTTCAAACTCAGTTTACTAATACTCCTTTAACAACAACATAAGAATAGGCTGGCTATATGATTGAACTGTACCTATAAGTTAAGTTTAAGAATATCTTAGCTAGGCCTAAGTAGACCTCTCTCCAAACTTGCACAAAATCCATTAGGCCTAGGCCTAAGCTACAACCCATGATCTGTGTTCTAAATTTTATGAGGATAAATTAATAGGCTAATTAAATAAGTTAGGCATCAGGGTGAAAAGTACACTTTGCACATTTAAGTTAGCGATATCTAAGAATGAATAGTCTAAGTTAGCTTAACAATAGCTAGGAATCTGAAGGATAATTTACACCTTCTTCTCCAGGATCATCAACAAGCCCTTCATCATCACTTAAATCTTGGCTATATTACCTTGTATCTAGGCTTACAGTTTATTTTTATCACTAAAAACAATAGTTAATAAGTTAAACGTAATAAAACACATCAGTCATTAATGTGAAGTTAACCAAGCTGTTTACAAATACCCACGTCATCTGTCCTGCTACACTATGATTGGCACGAAAATGAAAAGTGTCTAGAAACAGACATACGGTATGCAGAAAGCTTAGAATCTTCCGAAAACAGTTATAATAAATAGGCCTTCCAATCTTAATCTTGTACAATCTGATTCAGTCAGTCCCAGAGCCTATGCTGTAAACAATTTCATTTCGTTTAATTTATTTCAACGGCAAAAGTGCCAATTTATACATGGACAATTAAAATAACATTATACTGTGCAACAAGTTTAACAAGCAAAGGCAAAGAACAATAATATAACAATCAACAAAGGAAACAATAACAGATCAGCCAACGAGAAATATCAATACCGGTAACAACAATATAACAATGAAAAAAATTTAACAAGAACAAAAATAGAACAATAAATAGGCCTACAATAAATTAATTTACAATGTGATAACAAACACTAGCAAGATCTAAGCAAACAGTAAATAGTGAGTTTTTCCAATCTGGGCAGAAACAATAAGTATTAGTAATGATAGGACAAGTATAAACATGGGAGAGAAATTGCAAGTTTTGACTAAAAATACTTAAGCTACAAGGAAACAGATATTGCACTAACAAACAATGCCTTATAATTTATGATCAATTTAACAAAGAAAACCATTACATCCAGAATGTTTGTGAGTCAATGTAACACCGCAGTGTGTCACTATTGTGACGCTTAACACTCATAGGGCTAATATGGCCTAGGTAACTTACATTTAAATATTAGAAACTTAAGTAAACTTAGGCCTAGGTTTATAAAGAGTGATAGCCACAACACTTTACAATTTCAGACTAATGATAAACAAAACTATTAAGTGTGCATTTAAATGTGAGCTGCAAAAATTCAAGTCTCAAGGTCAAGTACGTTCAACTTGTAAACGTGCAACCCTTTCAGTTCTAGGCCTAATTCGTATTTTGTAAGTCCAGGTATTTGTAGTAGGTAAACATGAAATAAAACTTTGTTTGAAACCAAAATTTAAAATCGAAGGACTTCTAGTTTACAATGTAGGCCTAATATTGAATTTAGCCTTGTTTTTGTTGGATAAGCTTATTATAATATCTAAGCTAGTAATTTTAGGAAAAATACTTTTTTGCAGCCAAGTCTCAGTACCTAACACAACCTATGATCACTGTTGTGGTTCAACTGAAAAATATCATCTAAATAGTCCGTGACTAACTAGTACTGACCTAGTAACGCATTGAACAACTTGCTGTGTAGCGCCATCTGTTTGCAATCGTTGGCGTCAGCTTAGATACCGGTTTTTGACTCCTCAGTCTCCAAGCACAGATAGCCGATGTGGCTAGGGCGTGTGTCACTTGGCCAGTGGCATTCGTTTGCTCAGGTTCGATTCCCGTTCTGTGTGGCAAACAATTGGTGACATGTGTGTTTGTAGCGAAATACCACTGGGACATAGTGAGATGTTCTCAATCCTTGGCTTAGACATAGGCTAAACCTCGAATCATTGGATTGGGCGGATCTTTTAGCTACCGGTAAGTGGTTGTTAGTGTATCCAATGAACATGCAGGTGGCCAATGGCTGTTTTGCTACTTTTTGTTAAAATGACCTTCCTCTCTATACTGTATCTCTTAGAGATTTTAGTAAACGCCGATATATCGTCGCATAGGCTAGCACTCAAAGGTTTAACAACCTTTTTGTTGGATTAAGTTAGGACGTGGAAAGAAATTCAAACAAACTTGTTAAAAATGTGAAATCAGTTTGGAAGTGAAGGCTTACATGTATTGTTATGTGTGTTTTAGGTGCCGTTTCTACCTCTTCCACTACCCATGGGTTCCAGCCGTGCAAGGGGTCATAACGTTCTTCGTTTTAGCCAATTTCACCCTTGCAACATTTATGGATCCAGGAGTGATTCCCAAAGGTAGCCTACATTTACTAATTACTAATAATATCAGTTAACTACCGTACCTATTTAGTTTTCGTCATATAAAATCACAGTGTTGAAAGCCGGAGTACTATTTCTGTATCCAACATTGTCTAAATGTTGAAACTGCAATTAATTGAATAAAGATATAAAAGATTAAACTAATGTGCTTACATAGGCTAATGGTTAAATTCTGGTTTTGATGGTTTAAGGTTTTTTTTAGGTAGGTACACTGCAATAGCTGTCCACACTAGCCTACTACCAATATTTGGTTTTTTAACCACAGAGATACTGTTTGTTAATGCTGTTCATACTGTTCAATGAAATGGCGACCATAGGCTACATAGTAGGTATTTTAAGCCAAGTATGAAGATAGAAGATGTAATGTTTTTGCCATCATTAAGTTGAGCACGTACCTACGGGTCAATGTCACATAATGATGAATTTTCAGGAAAGTCAAAAAATTTTTTTTTACTTTTAAAATCGATATACTACTAGCCTATTACAATCAGTATTTACCAAGGAATAATGTATACTAATCAGCAGAGCTGAATTTTGTATACCTTAATTTATAACTCTATTTTTAGCTTGAAGGTCACACAAAAAATGCCAGTCGGTCACGCTGATGAATTTGCAAAAATAAAATAGTAAAAATGATATTAAATTAAAAATGTCATCATAAATGTTACTTATACCCCTCAAAATTCAAATAAACGAAACCAAAATATTTAATTTCGTTCAATTTGAGGAAATTTTAACAATTTGAGCTAACCTAAAATGAATTGGCTCTACTTTGCAGACGAAACTTTAGTATGAATGACAAATATTTCAACAGTGAATTGCAGTAAATTGTTGTTTGTACTGAAATATGATTGCCGGTATGGCATGTATCAGAAAACACATAAACATCATAATATAGACCCGATAAAGTGAAGTTTTTGTTTTTTTATATACAAACGAATAAAATAAAGTTTCGCCTTCGGGACCCACTAAGTAATTCTTCCTTGCAAGTTGCTAAGAAATCACTGAGAAACAAAGGATTCTTAAAACATTACCAAAAGACACCACTAACCTACACAAGATCCAGGCAATTGATGGCACACATAAGAGTCGCTGCTCAATTAATTTGATTTTGTCCTTACAATAGCTGTGTACTTTTTTGTTCGTGTCAACTGCCTGGGATTCATTTCTTGGATAGCTTAGAGGCTTACCCATTCCTTTTTTCTTAATGAACGCTTAATTCAAGAGCTGTCTGCTCCAAAAATAGACTCCACAATTTTCTTGTTAAACTTAATTTCTACTCCTGTGGCCACTCAGATCCAAGTTGAGTTTTGGCCACCCCAACAAGTTCCTTCCTGACTCCTTCATCCTCCGCTATGTCCGCTTCTCACCCAATTCTTCTTATCTCCAGCCACTTGGTCGCTCCATGATCTTAATCTTGGTCTCCTTCCTAGTGTGGGTGCCTTCTGGTCGACCTATCCACACCCTTCTTATTGTTGCATCCTCTCTTCTTCTTTTTACATGACCAAGCCACCTACTTCTTAACATCGCCACAATATCTGGCCTTATGTACAGGTTCCTGAGTTCTCCATTTTACAGTACCGTATTCTCCAAGGCCCGCCTTCGAATATTGGTCCATATTCTTCTCAATGTTTCATTTCCAAACGTTAAACTTTTCTTTTTCTTTAAGATACCCTCAGAAAGAGTCCTATATTATGAAGAAATAATGGTGATATGTTTTGTGGTGTTTTATTATGTATCTATTAAGATAGCCTACTTTCATTTTCTCAGGTAATTTCCTAACTCTAATTTATAGAAAAAAATTCTAACAAGACGTTAATGAGTATTTTTGTTGTTGCAGCATCTCCTGACGAAGACCGAGAAGATGACTTTAGGTCTCCATTGTACAAGAACACAGAGATAAATGGTATCACTGTCCGCATGAAGTGGTGTGTGACGTGTAAGTTCTACCGACCGCCACGCTGCTCGCACTGCAGTGTCTGCAACCATTGTATAGAGGTAGGCCATATAGAAAAACATATGTGTCTTGTTAACTTTAATATCTAGTCTTGTTAATGATTAAGACAAAAACTGTAGCTCTCTCCCATATTGCTGATCAAGTTTATTTAGCCCAGTTGATTGGGCCTATTACTACAACATGTTTTGTTAAATTTAAACCAACATTGAACACATAGGCACAAACCATCATAAAACCGGGCATAGATTGGATAGCCTAAAAAGTAACTGTTGAAAAATCCCTATTTTTGAAGTAACAACTTATGCATGTTAAAAGTATGCAATGTACTTAATATCAGTTGATGTCACCATCGAAAGACTATCGCTCACTTCTATGCTAGAGTAATACATGTTTTACTTTTTAAAATGAGAATACTTAACGTGTACTGTCAGGAAAAAACACACAAAGTGGAATTTCAACCACGGTGATAACTGAATTTCTTTTGACATACACATTAAGTGGCCTACCATAAATCCAAATTTCACTTTGGTTCATAATTAAACAAGACCTGCGTGGACACGATTCTATATGTATGCAATAGGGATGGGAACAGAAGTCTCTATATTCCTAGAGAAGCTCTGTTGTACCAACCAGAGGGAATAAACCGACCTGTTATTTTTGCCTTTGTAGAGGAAGTTAATTTTAGTGGCGACTAATTCAGCATTGGTTAAGAGAAGTTATTTTTTTATGGTTATCTGTTTATCATTTAATTTGCTAAGGGGGTCAATAATTACTACTATTTCAAGAAGTTACTAACTAACACATCTTTGTTCCAGACATTTGACCACCACTGTCCGTGGGTTAACAACTGCATAGGACGTCGCAACTACCGCTATTTCTTCTTCTTCCTGATGACCTTGAGTGTTCATATGGCCAGCATCTTCTCTCTGTGCTTATTTTACGTTCTTCTTCATAAAGAACAGCTCACCGAGACCACGTCAATAGTGTCGTATCCTTTAAAAACATGGTTTTAGAATTATGTTCCTTAAGAAAAGTGTTAATTTTTAAATTTAAGTTATTGATACTAAAGCCTTGCGGAATTGATGGAGCCTTCTCTATATCTTACAATATCCATCTGGGTCTCTCCCCTCTATGGAAATTTGTTCAACAAAAACAGTTTAACAATATATTTGGGAATTTTTCTTGAAAGTATTTTAATTTTGTAGACACTTTTTAGAGAGGCTTTATGCTGTCCTTTCTTAAATCAAGCCCTTATCTAGCACAATATCAAAACTCAACTTTAGTAAAGTAGTTTTAATGTCAAGTGGCCTAATTTAGTTTTTATGCCCAAAAATATGTACTTGGACATCTAACAAAAGAAAAGTGATCCCCCCTCAATAAATGATTTAATTTGAATGATCACTCTTGCTGACTTCTACGTTGTCCTTAACACATGTCCAGGCTATGTATAATAGGTACGATCACATTGCTATTCATCCCTATCTTTGGGCTGACGGGGTTCCACATGGTGTTAGTGGCTCGAGGACGCACCACCAACGAGCAGGTGACTGGCAAGTTCAAGGGAGGTTACAACCCTTTCTCTCAGGGCTGTTGGCACAACTGCTTCTACGGACTGTGTGGTCCGCAGTTCCCGAGGTAAGTCCAGTTAAACACTTTTGAAAAAATGAATGAATTGCAAAACAGAGTGAATTTCAGTGGAGTTATAACTTTGTTCCAGCCCCATAAATCCAGTATACAACACTGGCTTACGCAATAAAAGAAATATGTGAAATTAATTATTTAAAACAGGCTAAGTCAAATTAACTGTTAAACATTACTTCTGACATTGAATAGTAAATTAAATGTTTTAGCAAAGTATATGAAACAGCTTATAGGTCGTAATAAGCCAACATGGACAGCAAGCCTGTGCGTGTGCATCGACAAAAAGTTCTATAAACCATGGTATTTTCCATTCTTATAAGCATCTAGATCTCTGAAAAGAACTAAATTATTTTTTTTTATGTAAAATGCATTTTTTATAATTTAACTTCATTCATCTTCTATTTACAATTTACCAAAATTCTTTCATAAAATAGTTTTCCTTTTGAATCTACTCTCTGGGGTCCTATTTGAGGATGAAAAATAAGTGTTAGCGTATGGAACCTCAGGTCACTTAGTTAACTATTGCTTTTCAAAACATTTCGTCTGAAAAGGTTTGTTTTTGAAGGAAAAGACAGTTTAGGATTAGTTAAAAAGAGAAAGTATATGACACAGTCAATTTACACAAGAAAGGAATTCAGACAGATAAAACTTGGCACAAAATCAGTTCACAACACAGTTAATTTGTTTGGCTATTTAGTCTCTTTGGACATTCTTCACCCTTCCCGTACGGGTGGCGGATATATCCGCCTAGAAGTCTTTGGCGATAAAGGACGGGTGGCGGATATAATATTTCTGCTTATGGTTTTTGATGTTCCGGACGGGAAGCGGATCTTCTCTTCAGACAGACTGGCAGGTGCTTGAGCAGTAACCAGGTGTTTTACGGTACGAAGGCGCCACTTTCCTGCTCTCTCGTTGGCTGCGCTCTCTCCCGCACTCCCCCCTCTGTCCAACGCCTACCCCTCTCCCCCGCCTACCGTGCATCTCCTACCCCTCCTACGCTCCACACACCCTTTCCCCCCTCCCCCCCCCTCCCTCCCTCCCTTCGACGTTTCACGCTCAACACTACATTGTCTTTATTTATTGTTTACATATTGTTCTTTATTTATTGCCTAACGTTGTCATGATCATATCTTCTAAGACGGGTGGCGGATATATCCGCTGCTTTTCTACTCATCCGCGGACGGGTAGCGGATATATAAAAACATAACAAGCAAAAAATGATTTTAACAGTATGAAGGGTTCCATTGTGTTTATTTTATGTATATACTTGTATAACAAAACACAAATAAGGAAAATTAATTTTTATTTTTTCCCGTTTTATGTCACGATTTTGCACGTCCGAGAAGGGTTAAGAAAGCAGTTGAATGTGCTATTACTTCCTTCTGAAGAGAAAAGTCCTTTAAAATGACAAAATGGCAAATTTATTATGTTTTGAAGCTTTTTTGTGCCATCAACTACCTCAAACCCCTTATGATTTAATTTAGTATAGTAAAATAGACATCCCATCTATATTGACCAGCTGTTGCCAATTTTTAATTTAAAAAGACCATAGTTGTGAAAGCCAGTAACAGAGAGTGCTAGTGTCTAAAATTCTATTTTCTACCAAATCTTTTGTTACTGAAGTAGTTGGCGTGGCATAAAAGATGCTATGCAGCTTATAATTAGTCATCTTAACAATTTGACTTTGGAAACTCCACACATGCAACAGACATTGTTAATGTACTTCAGTACAATCTGTTGGTGGCTCACTTCTACTATGTCCATTTTGATTAAACACTGGTGGCAACTTCAACATGGGGATGAAATGTCTAGCTCTATGAATAGTCAAAGTGCTAATTCATAATTCTTCTACAAATAAACTAGTCTTAATTTTTACAAGACCATAAGCAAAAAGTTGAAACCAAAATATGTCCTACAGCCTTCTACATCCAAACAAGTACGGTGGAAAGCGAAAAGACAAATCGAATATAGCGACAATAACGAACAGCGAAAGTCAGCAAGTGAAGACATACATGGATAATAGCAACGGAGTTCGAAGTGCCAACCCTAATGCCTACAACAAGGTACATAGAACTTACATTCCTCTGAATGTCACAAAGCATGCTTTAAACGTTCAACATTATAATGTATAATAAAAACCAACACGCTAAAACTGTGTTTCATTGTTAGATTTGTTGAGGTTAGGAATGTATTCAAGAATTATTATTTTGGTGCTGAAAATTGATTGACGATATTAGATTCAGATTGTTTTTCAGAGATAGCTTTTTGATCAAATGTAATAACTGTCTTAAAAAAGATTATACAGTCTGTGATTAGCAGTTTTATTGAAAAAATGTTGCCAAATGAGCAATTGAGCTACCAGCGAGGAATACGATCGAGGCATTTTTTAAGTAAGGGCCGTTGTACTCTGTGACGAGACATAATTTTGTGAACAGAGTGGTATCATTTGCAGCTCTGTAGCTGATAGGTACGCTTCGCTGTGTGTTTAGAACATTTTTTCAACCATTGAATCTTCGCTCCCGTCGCAGACCATTTTTAATAATTTTTAACCACAAGGTCCACAAGAAGCATTTCCTATGCTGACATTCATCGGTAATGGCCCTAATGCAATGCAATTAAGTGCGGAAATGGGTTATGGAATGTAAAATTGGCTGTGAAAACCTTTTTCCTGTATGATATTTTGTGAAAAATCTGGGTGTACCCACCAGGAACACAATTCCTTGTGAAATGGACATAAATAACTTCTTGATCAGCATTGTACGTGTTATTTACTTTCTGTATGGACATATTCACGGCCATTTTAAAACTCCCTAACCCATTTCTGCACTTAACCATAACTAATTGCATTAGGGCCATAAACTTCATTTGGCCATTTGGTGATGAATGTCTGCAGCCGATATGTTCCTCACTATCAAAAACTTATCAATGACCTTATTTCGCATGTTTTTATAATTTAAAAAAAATTTAAGACACGGAGAAGACGTTAGCTGCAGAGCTGCAAATTGGGCTGTTTTGTTCCAAAATGATACCAGTTAAGGGTGAATAGCCTCAATTAGCTGTAAACACAAAATAAGAAGCTATGTACAAACAGCTCTTACTTAAAATACAACCCTTGTAAAAATACCTGCATAATGAATCAAGACTTTCTTTTGACCTTTTTATTTCAGAATGTGTGAGTGGTTAACAAATAATTCAGTTAACAAAGGGGTTTTACCTGTGGAATTGCACCCCCATTGGTCTAGTCTTTATGGAAGACACTTGTCTAAAAATTACTTGAAGGCTTATAGTAAAATGTTATGTATATTTTAGTGATTTTGGTCCCTCTCGTATTTTCTGTACATACACCACTTTTTAGAGGTTGTGATCATTTGAGCTCATGCTGTACATGCTCCTTAACTGTACGTACCACCTTTTGTACTATTTTTGTAATTTTCTACATACTAGTTTTTGTTTTGTTTTTTACTCAGTCTTTGCTCATTTATCACAGTTTTATAAATCTGCACGAGTTCAACATTTCAAGTTCTTTATACTAAGAGCATGAAGTTCAAACAGAATTATAGTCTACCTTTGTAATTTTAGGATCCCAATGCTTATCTGTTTTTTTTCTTCCCTCTAGGTTTTCAGTTTCAGCCATATAAATTGGACACTTTTTATTGAATCCAGACAACATACTAAAACTTCTTAATCTGGAATAATCATCAAAAAACTAATCCAAAGTATTTACTAAAACTTTATCACTCCAAATTTACACTTAGTCATTGATAGTTTACTGTTATGCAAAAGTAATTTGCAACGAAAAACAACAATTTTACTAATCTTAGCAATTGAATTAAGTGCTGTAAAGCCCCCCACACACTATCGAACATGCCACCCGACCTGACAACCTGACCTGACGACGGACCCATCATCCAACCTGACTTATGTCGGGTGTTTCCCACACACTGTCGAGCATGTCACCCAACAAGTCAGGTGAAATATTAGTTCTGAGATAGATTTTGAGACGACTGTAGCTGTTTGTGGGGGGATTTTTAGTGATGAATTTATGGATTTTTAGAGCCTACGGAAAGACGGCTCTTAAATTTTCAATTTGATTTTTAACGAACTTTAAATCACACTCTGGATACAGTTCCTTGCACTTTTCCATCAGGATATCGTGCTCCTCTTTACGTGCATGCTTGTTGCAATAGAGTTTACTTTTGACATCCCACAACGCCTTCTGGTCTCTGTAGAGTTAAATAAATTCAGACCAGAACTGTTTATTATCATTAAATTACATTATGGAAAAATGGGACGGTTATCACGCACAACTCGCTAAATACAAGTCAACTGGAAACTGTGGCTAGTCGGGCGAGGACGGTTTCCCACTCACGGTCCAACATGTCAGGCGGACGGCTCGAGTCGGGTGGTGCTACCGGACCGAGCATCCAACCTGACATATCCGTCGAGCATGTCGGGTCGGAACCCACACACTGTCCAATATGTTCGACAAGACGTCGGATCCCGACATGTCCGTCCAACATGTTGGATAGTGTATGGGGGGCTTAAGACTACTACAACGTCTTTTCACTTTTCATTATGATATTTGAACCAAAACTGTCCCGGTCTTAATTTGGTATTATGTTTAACATTTGTAGCCTAATCAAAGAAATGTTTTGTTTTTGCACCAAATCATATTAGTAGAGTTGTAATTTAATACCTTGAAAAACCAAACTGTAATAATTTTTAAATGTTGAATGTTCTGAGTGCATATTACAACTACAACTAAGTTTTCCTTACAACCATTTTTCACCTGCAAGCATGTAGCCTTAAGCTCTGAGATTCTAGGGACAAATGATTATACAGGGTGTATACCAACCGGGAAAACCGGGAGAACCGGGAAATAACCTTGAATTTGAAGGGACCTGGAAAAAACCGGGAAAAAGCCGGGATTTTTGGACCGAAACCGGGATTTTTATTTTAGCCCCGGTAGAAGATTGTAGTCGTAAAATGCGTCTTGCCGCGATTGACGACGATGACGTTTCCGTGACCGCGGGAGACGACGATGACGTTTCCGTGACCGCGGGAGACGACGATGACGTTTCCGTGACCGCGGGAGACGACGATGACGTTTCCGTGACCGCGGGATCAACGATGATTTTTACACGGCCACGTGAAATACTCATGATTTTGCCGCGATTGTGACCTACGACGATGACGTTTCCGTGACCGTGGGAGACTACGATGACGTTTCCGTGACCGCGGGAGACGACGATGACGTTTCCGTGACCGTGGGAGACGACGATGACGTTTCCGTGACCGCGGACGACGACGATGACGTTTCCGTGACCGCGGGAGACGACGATGATTATAACTACGCGGCCGCAGATGTTTATGATTTTGCCGAGATCGTGGACGACGGCGATGACGTTTTCATATCTGCGAGAGGCAATAATGATGTCTACACGGCCGCGGAAGATTTTCGTGATTTGCAGTGTCCGCGAAAGACGACGATGATGATTTCTACACGGCCGCGTGATATGCTCATGATTTTGCCGTGATTGCGGCCGACGACGATGATGTTTCCGTGACCGTGGGAAACGACGATGACGTTTCCGTGACCGCGGGAGACGACGATGACGTTTCCGTGACCGCGGGAGACGACGATGATGTAGACACGGCCGCGGGAAATATTCATGATTTTACCGAGATCGCGGACGATGACGTTTCCGTGACTGCGGGAGGCTATGATGATGTCCACACGGCCGCGGAAGATATTCGTGATTTGCCGTGACCGCGAAAGACGACGATGATTTTGTCTACACGGCTGCAGATGTTCATGATTTAGCCACGATCGCGGACAACGACGATGACGTTTACGTGACCGCAGGATCAACGATGATGTTTACACTGCCGCCGGAAACATTCATGATTTTGCCGAGATCGCGCACGACAACGATGACGTTCCCGTGACCGCGGGAGTCAATGATGGTGTCTACACGGCCTCGGAACATTTTCGTTTTTTTGCCGTGATCGCGGTTGATGACGATGACGTTTACGTGACCGTGGGAGTCAATGATGATGTCCACACGGCCGCGGAAGATTTTCGTGATTTTGCCGCGATCGTGGATGACGATGATTACGTTTCCGTGATCGCGAGAGACGGCGATCATGTATACATACCGCGGAAGATGTCCAGGATTTTTCTATGGTAACGTAAGACTGTGATGATGTTTACGTCACCGTGGGAAGCGACCACACGACCGAAGGAAATATTCAGGATTTAGCCGCCGTTGATAATGTGTTCATAAAAAGTGAAGATAATATTCATGATTTTGCTGCTATCGAGAGAGACGATGTTTCCGTGGACTTAAGTAATGATGATAATGAAAATTATTATTATAATAAGGATTATTACTTTTTCAACACTAGCTCACTGGACTTTGAAACAAATTTAATGCAAGTTTATATTGTATACTTAGGCTGCAAGTCTTAAATTGATTATAGTTTAAGTGGAACCAAAAAAATACGTGGGAACCTGGAAAAACTTCGAAAAACCAGGAAAAAACCTGGAATTTCACTCTAATAAAATAGTATACACCCTGTTATATTATTGGTTATGCGGACTATATTGAATTGCACAGATTGGTTGGTAATCTAATACCACTAGTATTCCAAGTCCTACGGTTAGATCCTTCAACATCATCAAGTAATCTAATACCACTAGTATTCCAAGTCCTACGGTTAGATCCTTCAACATCATCAACTTTGGGTAGTTTTTCATTCAAGGACAACCAAACACAGATTAAACACACTCTCTTTTAGGTGTTAGGATTATTTTAGGATAGCTCACTGTTTTTCCGTTAAAAATACTAGAACCTAGAAACAGCGAAAATGTTGAAACAAGCTGAATATTAACATCTAAAAACAAGCTTCAAATTTTTTTACTAAACATCTTTAATTTGTTACATACAATGCATATTAACCAGCTTTGTACTAGCACTGTAATACAACATAAGATTTAAAGATTGTGTCAATATAATGAGGACGGTGTATTGGGGTAGTACGAGAGACGGAAAACTTCCTCCACCACTCTTCCCCTTCTCTGAAGACGAATATCTGAACTTATAACAACAATATTTAAACGACTGTAAAAATAACAAAAGTGGCTGAGGCCGAAAGGTCCTAAACTGCTCACCACTAAACGATTGTATATTCCGACTAACCAATAAGTATCACAATAAGTATAGCTAAGTATCACCGAGTGATTACCTTACAACTCAACTGTGTGTCACTATTTGTATTTGTATGTTTGCACCGAACATGCAGCAAGGAATGGGGAATGCAGACAGATCACAGGACAGAGATGTATGTTACCCCTCCTTACCCCACCTGCTTGTTGCTTGGTCGTTGCTTGAAACAATGCCTTCTGGATGCTCAAATATTGTCTTACTCCACAGAGAAGTAAGGTACATAGGATACACGTTTATGGGACAACCGTGCGCTTTCAGCTCTGGTATGTTGTGCCGAAATATACTTGTGGCAAGCGAGAGAGTCCAAACGGTGAGCACTGTGTGGACATTCCTATTGTACAGAGAGAGCGTTGTAGTACTTGAGGGCAGGGTGGAAGTGTTAGATTTTCCCCTAGACACCAGCACTATTGCTAGACACCACTTAAGAGTGTATCCTCTGTCCCATACTTCTCTGTGGTACTCTGAAGTGTCTACGCCAGTGGCACTTTGAATGAAATATTGACAAACACTTTAGGGAAAGCGTTCCAAATTACTTAAATATTGTGGATTTATCTGGATTTAATCCTTCTCACTTGCACCAAAGTTTGCCGCTAAAACCTAGGCTAGCAACACATCCACCAGATTTTTTTACCGTTTGCTCCTTTGAAAAATTGATTGTAAAAATATATTTTTGAGTCTACGCCATTAACTCTTTGTATTATACAATCTGAAACGCCCTAGAGAAAAGTTCAAAACCCTCAAATGTTTTTGAATATGTTGGGGATCAAACCCATCCCTCTTTTGCACTGAATTTAGACAATGCCTAAAACAATAAATTAGTTTAAGATTTTGTTTAGAAAATTTGAAGTTGGCATGTTGTGTTTACTAATAGTGTCCATAAGGTGTTGTTGCCATTATACAGATGCAATTGATTTTTTTTTGTTCTTGTTTTACCTTATTTTTAGTGTTCACCGTTTTGCTATGAGATATTTTTTATAATTTGTAAATGTTATGGATTGTATACTTTAGTAATTTTTTTCAGAAATATTAGTTTATTTAGAAATGTTGTTTTGCCTACTGGCCAGTTTGTTAGGACGTTAATGACTATTCAAGCTACATGTTGTAGCAAATGGTGGTGTTGTTGGGGGGTTGGTGATTGAGTAATTAGGAAATGTGTGACTTGAGAGACTAATTTAAGCGTGCTGAATCTGCTACCAAATGATTTACATGAAAGACATACTGGGGACCAGAGGACGGAGATCTTTTACCCAGACCGTAAATCTATGCATAGCCAGCTTTGATTTACCTTATAGAACTAATTTACTTAAACTATCCTTCCAAAACTTGTGAGCTAGAAAATGACTATGTGGAGATAATTAGGTTGGAATTGGAATTTAACTACCTAAATCCGAAATAACTCTGAATTTACTGGGATAAACTGTGGAAACCAACTGGGGAAAACGAGTTAATTTTGGCATGTTGAAAATGATCGAAGCTGAAGGCCTCAACCGGTAATTAATTTAATTCCTACATATCCAAATGTCGGGGCGACCCTTGCAGGTCTTCCCCTTGAGTTTGCTGACTAGCCTGACATTTTAATTTTAATATCTAAACATATAATTAACATAAACACTTATCCATTTTATGAAGAATATTTCCAGATTATCAAATTGGGTCTACGACGTTTCCAGAGGATGTTTTGGTTTAGTGATGGTCAAAACCAGAAATTTCTAATCTCATTACCGAAACCGAAACTTCAAAAAAATCGAATCACAAAACCTAATTGAAAAACCTTTTTACTTAGCTGGTTACAAAGGTTAAGGTTACAGGAAAAAAATACAGGTAATAATAAAATTGTAAGTATGAAATCAAAACTGAAATAGGACTCCTGACACTGACATAATAACATCAATATGTAACTCATAAACCCATACCAAAATATATTTTAATTAAAATAAATTAAACTCCTGACACCAACATAAACATGAATATTAGACTAATTAGAACATTTCCTGGCTAATATATCGTTTTGTACTGAGTTGTTTCAGTTACAGTATTTAAGATACCTTTCTAAGTTCAGAATACAATTTACTGTGTTTGCTCTATTGTAGAAGAAGTTTGCAGCTAGTGTAGAAACAGTAATAATAATAATAATAATAATAATGCAAAAAATGTCAGTAGATTCAAGAATAAAACTGTCAAAATATCCAATTCCGAAACTTTTGAATCTTGAAACTCGGTGATCGAATCTCGAAACCGAAACTATTCCAAAGTTTTGATGGTTTTGAGATTTGGTTTTGACACATCACTAGTTTGGATTAAGATCTATAAACAATTTGCTTTCGATCCATTCTCTATAATAGCTTCCAAGAGCCAAAAAAGTAATATAGGATAATGAGTGTAGTGGTAGTGACATAGAATTGTCTAAGTTTGTCTAGAATAGTAGAAGCAACCACCGAACATTTGAAAATCTTATACATTTTATTCTATACAATAATTGCTAGAGATGATTTACAGAAATAAACTCTAATAATTTTAAAATTCTGGCCGCCTCCTGATTTCTCAGGTTAAATATGACTTTGTGGCTACTGAATTAGCAAAACAACAAGCAAATCATATGCAACAATGATAGCAGATATGAGTAGGGAGTAGCGCTCTACTGCTATCAGCTGTTCATGTCTAAGCTACAGCCCTCGTGTTTGACAACCTCAAAACAAATTTTGGGGGCAACACAGCACCCAATAGTGCCAGAGGAAAAGAGTGCCTAGAATTGCCTAATTTAGCTGAAGAGTCCAAAAGTTTGTCAAAATCGCATGATTAGCCTTAGTTCATAATAACCTTAAATTTTCTTGCGACGTTTAAACGTACTTGAGGAGATCTAGATAGAGAAATAAGTCCTAAAGGGTGTAAATTAAATAAAAACGGTGTAGCTGCACAAAAACTTAGTACACAATAAAAATTAACGTAATATTGCAAATTATTATGTTTCCAACTATGTAAATATTTTATTTTGACAGATTCAGTAAATTCTTATAAAATGTTATCAGTTGTTTCATTAAAAAGTAGTATTAAATTATCCATATGGTTGTTATGTTAACAAATCTGGAGAGGGAACTTTAAAGGCCACTGGGGCAGAGCCCCAAGGGAATTGACCTGGTTTCTCTTTTGATGGTTCATCTACAGACCGAGACCTTTCTACACCTCTACCAAGTTTCTACGGCCAGCCGTTTTCTCAAATTAGTGGAGACAACATTGACAACATGGAAAAACATTTTCAAATTAATATATAGATTTACTAGGAAGTATAAAGGTTATGCACACCCTGTTCAATTAACTACTATCTACTATCTGAGGAAAAGGCTGAGCTATTATTGCTGTTCTCATCGACGGTTGGAACCCAAGAGCGAATAACAGCACAGTTCCGACGTAAACAGGCTCACTAGAAAGCACTTCTTTACTATCAACACATTGCTAGGAGGGCAACTTGTATCTCTAATTACAGCTCTAACTTGAATACCCTTAAACAAAGCTTTAAGTGCAATCTTGGTGTGTTGCTGGTCTGGTGTTGCTAAGAGTTATTTGTACTCCCACGCCTGTTTGTGTGCGTGTGTGTTTGCTTTATTGTATGTGTGTATTTCATCTCTGCAAACACTCCCTTGTTTTGTCAACACAAAAATTGCAAGCTCAAATATAGTGGTTAGTTTGGCCTATCATATGTGGACACTTGTATCTCAAATATTACCTTTGAACCACTGTCACACACTTCAGTGCAGTTTTGCAGATTGCAGAGAACAATGATAATTTTTTTGATATTGTCGGGACAATGATGATATTTACAAGACCCCAGAAGACATTCTCGCTTTTTCCGATCGTTGAAGATGATGATCTATACACATCTGCAAGAGATGTTCAGTGTCTTTCCGTTCTTCTGTCTGTTTTTAATAACAATTCATTTCTTATTGTAGTCACAGGGTTTTTAATACTCTCTATAAGTGATTTGGATAATCGGTCATTCGGATGGCTGGATTTTGGATAATTTGGAATTCTACTGCAGTAAGAATTCTTACACAATCAGAATACTTATCTTCACTGAGCAATTCACTCTACAACAGTTTTCTGTATGACAGATAATATAATATATAACAAAAACACCAAGCTTTTTATGCCGGCTCAATACCTTATAATGCGTCAGTCTGCCTCTTCGGGGCCTCTTTAGGTCGTCTTGATTCACGTTCCAATATTGAATCTTAAATGCTTTTGTTTACTTTTAACAGAGTTAAATTTTAAACAAAGAAAACAATGGTGATTAATTTGAATTCACAATAAATGCAAAAAAAGTTGTTAGTGCCTCAAGAACCCTTTGATTTGACTTTTTCTTTACTCTTTTTACTATTAATTTTGACCATAATATAAGTTAAAACCCAAATTATGAAGTCAAAATATTAATATATCTTATAAAGCATGTAGTAATAAGGGAAATGTACTTTGGTACCTACACAAATGTAGCAAGAAATTTAGATGCAACATGCATGATTATGATGTATCCAGAAATGTTAGCTCAACTATCTCCCATAAGACCTGTACTGACTGCACGGCCAACATGGAACTGAAAGGAAGATGATATCAGTCTGTGGTCGTATGTGCTCTGGTTAGTGAAAATATAATTTGAACAGTTTTAGTTTTGTCTAATATAAACAACATCACTAAACAGCTGTTGGATCTGTTGCAGCTGTCGCCAGGCAGGGACGGCTCGGACACTGACATGGAGCCTACTGCATCTCAGTCTCAGGACTGTGAGCCGACACCGCCACTGCAGAGACACGGCAGCAAGACCAACTTTTATCTTCCACCTGTAGATAGCAGCGACTCGCCACGCAACTACACAGGCCACGGCCGACCTAGTCCACATCCTAGAAACAGGTGATTACTTTGCCAATTAGGTACAGTAGTCTTTAACTAGACATCGGTTTAACCGGACTGTATCGGTAGGAAGTGGGCGGTACTGAAACAACTTTTCTCATGGGGAAAGATTTGAGACCAGTGATCACGTGTCTAAATGCTCTCTCAAATTAAAGTTAAATATTTGGGTTAGTTTTCGAGAGATTCCTATGGTGTGCACATGTATCATTAATATTTAAAAGGTACAAAGCCTTGACACTGGTGTTTTGTGTTTACTTTAATTAACCCAAAGTGTCTAGTTCTACTAGTAATCATTATTGGCTCAGGCCTATGTAGTATGCATTAGAAGAAAGGCTATCCTGACTGGCCTTGGTCCCAAGGACCCCAGATAATAGGGAGCCTACTATAGAAAATTATAAGGAGTAATTTTTAATGGGATGGGACAGTTATAACTTTTTAGACTTTTAGGCAGTGATATTATTAGCTATTGGATGTTTTGTAATATCTTATTTCAAACAATTGTTTAGTTGTTGTCAAGTAGAAGCTTAGTTATGTTTGTCCAATTCATCTACCATTGGTGCTCTTTAATCAACTTTAATTTTAACAAATGTGAAAAAAGCCCAACCAAATACTATGCACCCGACATACTACTAGTAACAAACAATCCACTTGATGGAATCCGGTTGATGACAATATCATTTCCCTCGTGATTGGCAAAACCTCTTCTCGGTCTCGTAAACCCTCGGTCTCGTACAATTGCATCAGCATCTATCACCCGCTACTGTCATGGTACTTTGTTTTCTCTTGTTCCGATAATGTTTTTGCACACATTCCTAGTGTTTTAACTGTCTGATGTTTACAGCAGTAGGCTGGAGGTGTCGCGAAGTCACACACCTGATATGGAGAGAGGCGTGGTCGGCCCGTCACCCACAATGCAACAGAGGATCAAAGCTATCGGAGTGCCGACACCACTGGCCATGTCAAGTCCACTACGCAGGTGAGCCTTCGCTACAACACACTCGCAACTATCACTCACGTCTCGCATGGCCGCTGCATGAGCTGTCAGCTTACATTGTCATAGCTGTTTTATGTTCCAAAAATACTTCCTTGGAAAATCACAAATGTTCACTAAAGTTTTTGAGTTGGTGTGAGGATTTGAGGTGTGTTTTGTTATTGCAACTAGTGAAACAGATTGGCTTATTTACTCGGTAAAAATGTTGAGTATACAAGAGGTATTTTACCTCTTGGAAGGAAGGCAACACATCAAATATGTAAATGCTGAGGTTTGAATTCTTATGGTGGAAAAATAGATACAGTCCAAAATTAATACTTTGAGGAAAACCTCTTAAAAAATTTGAGAGTAAAACAAGATGTCTTGACTATGACAAGAAAACACTAAACAGCACAACACATCGAAATTTTAAAATTCAAAACATGTCTTAAGAAATAAAGAGGAATTATATTTATAGGAAGAATACACAACAACTGGACGGGTTGACTCCAGATTGTTTCACTTCTGATTCTGATCCCCTTAAACTCTGTATGAATTTTATTGATTTAATCCACTGAAATTGGAAGAAATGCTAGTCTTTATGCTAGCAATTGCCAAAAGAACCAGAGATGATTCCAGTTTCATAAAGAAAAATTGTGTTAACACCTGCGACTGTCAGAGAGGCTAGTCCGATGTTGGTTTTGTAAGAGGAACTAAACCTTGACACGTTTTATCATCCATGATGCTTGGCTATACATTAACCATGACACCACAAACATAGAAGAGGCTAATATAGAGGTTTGCAAAAACATTGCAACCATTTAAGAAATAGCCATGACAGTCTACGATTTTTGAAAAATATTGTAAAAATGCACAGGGTTTACAAAAGCTCTTACTTTGGTATTTTTGTAATTTCTTTTATTGCAATTAATCACATAAAAAAGTACATTTTAAAATTTTGATTCTTGTAAAATTAGCCAATCCTGAAATTCTACAAAACTCTTCTGAAAAATGTTATCCAATTTAAAACTGTTTAAATAAACTGTAGAAGCAAACAGTTTCTATTCTTTAATCAACTGATAGTAGATGCTTTTTATTATTTTTGGTTGACAGATTTTGCTACCAAACTATTCATAAACTAGATAAAAAATAATTTTTAGCAGTTCTAATTTTTCAAAGTTCTATTTATTATGATATATTTGGTGAAAATGTAGGACTATAAGATACTCTAGTTTAGCTTTGGTAATATGACACCACGAGTTTTAACTTCAAAAGAGGTAATTAAAATTGGAACTTCCGCTTGAATTGTTGATACACTATAATGTAAAATATAGTTGTAAAAAGTTTAACAGCACGTGAGAAGCAATTGTTATGATATGATATTCATTTGCAATACTTACAGTTACTTTCTGTGTAAATAATGTTGTAGAACGTTATTTTTTGTAAATATTTTCTATATCAGAATGAGTAAGCCTGCATCGTACAGAGGTAAGTAGATGGAGTTAAGGAATTGTGATATTTGTTTGCTGGTTAACTTATATTATTGTATAAATATTTCAGCCATTTGTCCCTTTGTTTATTGAGTTTATTTATATTAATTTGTTGTTAATGCAAATAATTATAATTATACTTCTTTGGTAAATTTGAAAGTGTGTTTAGTTAACTGAATGAAAAATGATCTATATGTTCTGCTGCTAATAACTTATCTATTACGGAATTCTTTATATATTTTTTAGAAAAATCATCCAACATTCTAGGACCAGATGGTTATTTCTATCTGTCTCTTGAAACAGAATCCTTTGTGGATTTTGTTTTTCATTTTGATACCTAAAAAACTATACAGTTAAATTTATTGCTATATTACCTGTAATTATACCCTCGTGTACAAGCATACCTCACTTGATACAATTTTAAGTAGTTTTTTTATAAAATGGTAAGTTCAGCTAGCTTATTTGACCAAAGTTAAGGAGAAACATATTTATTGTTGGATCATCAATGCCCTTAGGCCTGACAGACTTTTTATGGCCCCACTCAATAACGATCTTGTATTTTATTTCCCGCAGTTATTATCCTGAACTCGCTGAACTCAACCCATTTCCAAGAAAAACAGTCCCTCAACTTTCCTATAAAATATGTATTACTTTTACCGCAATCAACTCTTCAGCTTCTACTATTTTTGGCTTATAGCATTTACAGATTATTTTTATTCTTACGACTTTTCTGGCAAGGAGTTACTTTGAAAACCTGATGATTTTTATTCTAACTAGTCTTGGAAGACTGTGGTTTTGTGTATATAACACCGATGCTGTTAACCATACATTTGCATGCAGCTTCAACAGTTTAAGAGCATGGATCACCTTTTGGGAAAATGTAAATGTTCACCAGTTCACCATTTTATCACCATTATATCAGATCTTGTTCCATACTTTTGTAAGACGGACTCAGTTGCTGAAGTATTTGATATTTTCATGTAGGTTTCCCCACTAGGACGAGAGAGACGAAGGTACGCAACATTTAGTCACATGCACTGTGCCAATCGCTTTTTAGCTTTTTTGAGTTGTACAAAAAGAAGTTGAGCCACTTTCGTATAAAAAGTTAATCCTAAAATCAATGTATAGAAATATACACCTTTAAAGACCTGCTAGTGTTATGTAGTTATTCATGGTTTGCTACGGTGGATCCATGTAATTCAAATTTAGAACTACTGTAATAATTGGAATTAGTTAAGTTGTTGTTTTACGTTTTTAAAATATTTTTACAGGAAATTTAATAGTTATTAATTTGTATAAAAAAATAAATATGTAAAGTAAATACATAAAAAATTAAATATTATAATTGGAAAAAATACCATCAAGCTAGGTAGAAATCCTTTTAATTTTCTCTTAAATTCATACGTTTAAACATGTTAAGCCTCTGGATTGTGTTTTTTACAAATAAGAAAAAGCTTAAATACCTTTTGTACTGTCGGTGATCTGTATTTAGTCAGCGACCAAGGTTTCAAAACTTAAAGTTCATTTTCAATCTTACAACCAAGCAAACATCCTCTCCATCCCTGAGGCTGTAAAGAGTCGTCAAATAACAGTTATACGAACACGAAAACATAACATAGATTTGGCCAGATTACAATACTGTCAGCGGTCGCGTGGTGTAGCTGGCAAAAGATGAGTCATGACTGCAAGGTGTCATGTAATTTAAGGTTTGAAATCTTGGTCGCTGACTAAATACGGATGAACGACAGTTCAACAAGTATTTAATCTTTTTTTTATTATTACATTTTTAAATGGCCATATTACATAGTGAAAATACATAATCTTTGAAAAAAATACTCTTATCCAACTTACAAACAAAACTGTAAATATTAAATTCAATAGAAATTCAACCATCTCAAAGATACCGGTAATAGTCTCATACTATCCTGTTGGACTTTCTTTCCTGATACAATGTTAACAATCGGTTATAACTAAACCATATAATTTCATCTATAATTTAACTTGATTAATAAGCAAATGTAAATTATTATTTACCAAAATTATAAAACTGCTTAAATTCCTGATTTATAACTTTTATGCATTAGTTTTTCGATTGTATTTTCCATTCCAGAGAATAAATTATATTTATTACTTTTGTTTAAAACACCAGATTTAAAAATATATATAAAATTAAAATTAACTCTCGGGAAATAAATTTATGCTAGCTATTGTATTGAGTTAAAATTCTTTCATAAGCTACTCATGTACCTGTATATACAGTTGTGGCCGGTTATAAAATACTTTTGATTGTTAGTATAAGCAATAAGATTCCAAAGCCTCTAGATCGGTAAGGTTTTAGCGTTTAATTCCCTAAAAAAAGAATTTTATAAAGTTACTCCTGTAGATGTAATAATTTGTGTTAAAAAAGATTCCTAAAACTCCCTTTGATTGTTGATTACATTTAAGTCGCTAAAAAAATTCTATACATTTGTGGGTGGTGAGTTAAGTGTTCCGATATTCCAAGTAAAAACTTTGCTTGTAGTGTTGACAGCAGAAAATGTTTTAAACATTTCTTTATTGAGTTTTTTTCATCCCATAGGATATGCTTTTAGGCTGCTGCTTGCTTAGCTATGCTCTTCCCTATTATGTTTTTAATTTTGTATATTGTTATAACATTAGCATTTGTTATTTCAATTGAATACTGCAAGTAAGAGTTACAATATTTTCTGTTTAGTCACCTTAATATATGTTATTATTAGTGGTATTGTTGATGGTGTACTTTTATACCATGAATGTAAATTATTTTGCGATTGGTGAGGCTTCAAATGTACACAAAAGATAATGTTTGGATTCTCGTGTTAAAATTGATAGCTTGACCAAAATACTGAAATACTTATGCTCCTAATCAGTGTTAATTGTGAGGAAGTTATAAAGTTAACTTGACAGACCAAATGTGTGTGTAATGTTTGTCCAATGTTAGCTTAAGTCTTGAAAAAGATTAATATTTAGTAATTTTTCCCTTAAAAAGATGTTTTTATTGTAAAACACTATTACTTTTGATTTTGGCTTTACCTAACAAAATTATAGGTAATTTTAGTTGCATTTAGGAATAAAGTTATTGAGTTGAATGTACGATAATTCAATTTACGGTATAAATCACATACCTACTTAAATTAAATTATTGTTTTTTTTTTCTTTTCAACATTTTACTGTCTATTTATATAATTGAATATAATATTTTCAGATCAAATCCTGGGACGCCAACACAACCTAGAAGGCCCGATTTCATAGGAGTATCGGGCAGCAACCACCCAAACCCTTACTACGAGTTTCAGGGGAGAGGGAATCCTGGTCCGGAAGCAAGTCCTCAACGACGATTCCTCTCCGAGGGGGAATTGCTACGGGGCGGCGATCTCCCTCCGGTCTACCCTCGTACGAATAACACGGTAGACAATATCCGGGAACTGGCGGGCTCACCGCAGCGAGGGGTGTACACTTGGAAAGACACCAGTCCCAACGCCTACTGCCAACAACCACCGCGTCCGGGGTACGATCACTACAGATCTAACCCTACAAGCCCCACGCAGCGAGGCGTGTACTACCCCGCACTCAGGGGGGGCGTGCCTGTTTACCCCCCGCCACAGTCACCTCAGGTGAAGCGGAAAAACTTAGTGACTCCAGTGACGCCTTGTGACGGACGGAGACGTCCCATGTCGTTTGTGCGGGCGTTAGAAATGTCGGACTCGATGGAGATGACTGGAAACAACCAAGAGCCGAGGCGAGGAACGACACCCACCCCGGATAGACAAAGTGTTTACGATATGAATTACGAAATTTCTGTATAGCTTTAAAACAAATTTTCAGTCCTTAGACTCGGATCATTTTAATTTTTATCAAAATAATTTATGTACTTTAGTCTATTTGAGCATTCTCCCTTTAGCTGGTGTTTAAACAATAGAATTTTCAATATAAGTTACATTCCTCTATTTTTTACACTTTGATCTCATACACCCGTTTGATTCTAGTTTGCTATACAGTTTAACCAATCGTCACATATGCGAGTTTCCTCTGCTGAAAATTTAGGTCGGTAAAAATTCCAAGTTATTACTATTATTTTTCTCAACATTAGCTCTTGATGGTAATTTTTAAGCATTATATTCTACCCTTGAATCATTTGTACAAGAGGTATCATAAGTTCTTGAAACATTTTCTTATTTTACTTTTTTAATTTACTCTTTGATAACAATGCTTATCTTATTTGATGCTAGATATCAAATATTGAATTGCTCAGGGATTCACCGTTACTTCTTGTTTCAGGAATATTATCAAAACAATGTTGATGGAATTGTTTGACTTCCTAGCCCTATATTTTGCCTACTTTCTGTGATTGTTTTTTTATATTTCAATATTTTGGCTGAACAATATATGTCAACATTATTAAAATCCCCTCCATTATTTTTTTTTTAATTTTCAGCTTTTAAAATGTTACCCTCTAGATCATAGATAAAAATGCAATACAGTCTTAACTGTTCAGTTTTTGTGTCACACTGTCATCTTTGTATATTTACAGCCTTGAAGGTTCTCACAAAAATATTTAAATATCCCCCCCCCCTTATTTTTTGGAGTAATTTTATGAAAATTTTACACAACCATTACAATGTGAGAGCTATTTAAACTTAAAAAATGTTAATAAACATTAACATATTGTTTGATTTTACAAAAAAATTGCTAAATTTTGTCTTTGTTTTAGAAGATTTGTATTTGATCTAAAATCTGAATACTGCTAAAAAAATTTAATTCTATGTAAATTTGTTTTAAATTTTGTTAATTACATTCGTAATGATAAATCACGGGATTGAAAGATTGTGATTACACTAAATAGTCATTTACAAATCTCAGAGATTTTAAAATTACCCTTTACTGCTTGAAAGTTTAATTAGAAGAAAGTTTATTTAATCTAAAACCTAAAACTGTATACACCAATTATTGGTCATAGGCAGTTCAGATTTATTAAACATTTTTCAAAAATCTTATTCCTGTGATTATAAAATAATAACTTACTTTTTCTTAAAATTTTCCAATTAAAAAATTAAAGGCAAACATTTACTTAATCTAGCCACTTTTTATCATGAATTACTTACCTACAAGTCATAAGACTGTATGATGACAAAAACTGGACTCATGGAGAATATGGTGTTACTGTTATATTTTTATTATTGTTAAATCCGTATAAATACTTAGTTATTGTTATTTTTATTTACTTAAAAGTTATTGTGTGCGATTTAGTGTTTGAAGGTGCTATCTAAGTTCCTTATTATTCCACTAGTGAACTGAGTTACAGTTTTAATTAAGTTTCTAACATGACCTCGGTAATTTCTCTGAAAATATTTTACTTGTAAACTATTTTTTGTAGATTTCAAGCAAAATATTTATGTTTCCAATAGGTAAGGTAATTGTTTGTCAATACTTCGATTTGGTTTTGCTTGACTTTGAACTCACAATTCAAGTGATAAATCTATCAATGTTGAAACTTTTATCTGATTTGTTTGAAAGGTAATTATTTGATATATGGAATATGGAGGATGAACAGCTTTTTTTTAGACCCATAAACATATTCATGCTAAACATTATTTTCTTTGTGTCAGTGCTTGATTACTAATAAACTTCCAAAACAAGCTGCTAAATTATTTTAAATCGTTAAAAAAAGTATAGTGTACTACTTTCCTTGTTCTTAAGGTTTGATTGTTGATTAGATTTTCCAATGAAAAACGTTCTATCATAACTTAAAGTAAAAACAATTTTTTCAAACATTGCTTGCATAAGGACTCAAATTATTTTTGCAAGTGGCTCCTAAATCGTTGGTGCTGGTACAATTTGTTACAATTTTAACAATTATTTTTTGTTTGTACCAGGACGCTAGGCACGAGCCTGGGATTGTTTTTCACATTACTTCAGGCTAGACCTAGGGGCTGCGGCATTATCACCTTAGGTAAAATCCGTTGGTGATTAGGCGGGATTTGAGCTCTAACCACTGAAACTAAACAAATTTATGACACTTAAATCCAATCTTACTACAATTGTGGACTTTTTCGAATTTTGAGATCATTGTAAGCAAAATACATCCGATGTGCTATTATTTTATTGAATGTTAAGCAACGATTTAAAATGTGTACAGATATCTTATAAACCTTTAAATTGTATGGAGGAATTATTTTTCTCTTATCTCAAATAGTTAGAACATCACATTATTTTTAAAGTTGACTAGTGGAATATGATTATATTTTAGGTTAGATTATTTATAGGTTCTATCATAACCTTATTATTTTTTCACGATGCTGACTTGAGGGCTTTTTAATGCAACTTTTACATGACTTAAACATATATCGATGTTGCATTATTTCAAATGTATGTTCTTTTTGTTTTGAAAAAACTCAACATGTTTACTTTCAGAAATGTGTGGTGGTGAGCTAAAGGATTATTGGTGTATGTTTAAATATCAGTATAGATAGGGTATTTTATACGAAAAATAAGGAAAAAGAATATTAGTACCAAACATGTCATTACATGAAGGTTGGCTTAAAGTTCTTATGCAAATTGATTTTTTTTCTTTTACTATTTGAAGGCTTCTTTTACTGATTCTCACTTTTTCGAATATGATAAGTTACTTATCACTTTTTTGTAAACTTAACTTCTTGGTAAAAGTATTTTATGATCATCAAAATAATATTTCCCCCATTGTATTTTAATCACTGTTCAGTACTGTAAGCTTACCCTTAGATGTTTTTTTCTACAGTTTTTTAGTTTCTTTTTGTGTAAATTGGCAATATTAAATTTGGTATTTAATTAAAATAGCCAATCCTAATGTTTACATGGATGTAAAAGCTACTATTCGAATGTTATCACTGTTCGTTAAAGATTGTTTTCATTTAAGTGGAGTTATAAGTGGTATACAGTGTTGAAAGATGTCATTTGTGCCAACCTATCATACATCCATGCTGCCTTGTGTACATACACACTTACATCATGTAGCTAGCCAGTTGTTATACTAATTTGTACATTTTACTGTTATTTTTTAGTCAATTGATGTAGAGAACTTATAAGAGTAATATCGGTTATTAGATGGATTTTCTCAATGTAAATTTATATTTTTATAAATATAAATGTAATATTGTAAATGTAAAGAGTTTTGTATAAAAGTTTATGTCGCGGTAGAGTTGGAGGTTTCCGCATTTAGTTGAATCGTGTTCATATTAATGTGATTTTCGCATTTAACCTATTCTCGGTCTACCAAAGCGAGTTACGTGTGCAAATGTATTAAACGTTTAGTTTTTCACAATTTAAAAAAATATTCTCAATTTATTTTTACTGAATACAGTTTTATTTGGGAATTTTTGGATGGTTCCAGGTATACGAATACGAAGCAATAGTAAAACTATGCATTACTAAAACAAAAATTTAAATTAGTTGAGTTCAATGTATTTTGATTGCAACTGTGATAAACTATATTTTGCATTTGCACATTGTTTATAGTTATTGTGTTTTAATGATCAAAAATACTTGTACCTAATCGGTACGATGGTATATTGTATCATATGAATTGTACAGAGCCTTATAAATTATGTAACCTGTAAATAATTTACCTGACGAACAAATTCTCACCCGATGTATAGACCATGTTATTTTACGTATATATTTATTGTGTTGTTAATGTAACGGGAGACGTCAAAGCGATACAAATATTTCTCTACGTGTGGGCGTGTGATGTAAATTTGTGTACCTTGTATAGTTCAAAATATAAAATGGATTTTGAAAACCTCTCTAAAAATGAGTTATTTCTACCACCCCTTTTGGCATAGAAAACACTTCTTTAAATTATGTTCTAGCAAAAAAGTATCAAAGTATGTGCAGGGCCGTGTTAAGGGTCAGTGGAGCCCTGGGCAAACCCAAAAGCAGGTGGGCGGTGGTTGGGGGTGCCCCCCATATAGACAGTTCCTATGTAGACAGCCCTTAGGCGTATGCCCAGTCTGCCCGTCTATAAAAGCGAGCCTCAGTATGTGGTGATAGTAAGCTTGACCCATTGAAACTTTTAAATAGTATGGCAAAAGGGATCAACCACCTTTCTTCTTAGAAATACAGAAATTTATGCACAGAGCAAATAAAAGTTGAATTAATTAGTTTCTGATTCCCATCACAATTAATAGCATGAGTAAAGCTTTGTCAATGTTAACTTAATAAATATATTTTTAGTATAGCTATTTTTTGTAATTAAGCTTATTAAAAAATCAGCAATTAAAGTATACCTAAGAAAATCTGCATGAATGTAGCTTTGTCAATAATATCTGTTTACTATTTTCATTCTTTCCTTGTCTTGCTTTTCACCTTGACAGAATGTCTAGCCAAGTTTTTGTGGATATGGAACTGTTCTTAACATGATTTAATTAATGTTACCATTTTCTTCGCATTTCACAATTTTAACCCTTTCGTGCCCAATGATAACTTTTTTACTCATGACATTTATACTGGAGTCTGGGAAATTTGTCATGAAGTAGGGAATTTTAACTTCCTTCACTATACCCTATGATGTTTTCAAATGTTATTGGCAGCACTGGAATTCCTGATCAACTGTCTGGTTCAACTTAAAGTCTGTTTGTTTTGTGCCATGCTCTGTTCTGCCTGCTTTCTTCAGAAGCTCAACTTTGGATATTTTTTTAGGTAAGTTCCTTCATTTTTAGTGAAATAAAAAAATATGTTTCTTGTTAAATATTTCATAGATATTAGTTTAATGTAATTTACCACGAGTTATAAATGTTTATAAAAATGTTATGATGTAAAAATCCCATGAGTAAAATTTTACTCATTGGGCAGTTGTGGCTCAGGTCTAATGAATACAATTTTACTCATTGGGCAGTTGCGGCTCAGTTCTAATGAAGATGTCTTATATTTTGATATTTTCACTTCCAGCATTATAAAAAATATAATATTGTATTAACACCTATATTTTTATAACGTACTAAATTTAATGTATTATATTTATGTTTTAGATCGTGAATATGGATAAACAATACCATACACACTCTGAAATAGAAGAATTGCTGCGAGGGGATTTGTCTGATTCTGATATCGAGGAATTAGAAGATTTGGAGGGTTAAGAATATTACAAATAATATTCTTTTGATTAGATTAGTAAACAATCTGGACAGTGAACAGTTGTATTTTTACATATTTTTACTTGAACATGTGAAGTAAATATTATAAAATGTATTTTAAAAAATCTCCCTGTGGACAAAAATTTTCTTTAGCAATTTAAAAATTTTGTATTAACATTAGCAAGCATTTGTATTATTATTTGCTATATAATTTTTGGTGTGAATATCACTCTCTATATTTTAATTTAACAAATAAAATCTTGATAAAAACACAATTCTTGTCGATTTAATTTGCTTTTTTTAAGACCTTCACTGCCCAATGAGTATTATTTTCCTCATAATTTTTTTAACTTTTTATTAAACCTCAAAAATGTTAAAACTTATATTTTTCTAATATGTTAGCCACCAAAGAGTGTAGTTATCAACAATAAAAAATATTTTCTTATCTACATCCATGTTTGGGCATCAAAGGGTTATTTACTGAACCTACTATAGTCATCAGGTACAGTGGTACAGTTAGTTAATGCAATGTATGCTATTTAATTTCACACCTCTATGTGCCATGCCCTCTTTCACTGCCGTGTCAGTTAGGTTTTTTTTAATAAGCTACGGTACCACAACATATCCAGGATTTAAAAACTTTTGAGGCAGTGTTTCGTCAAGAAAAACCTCTTTCACAAGAGCCAGGCCTATTAAGACATCTCAGAACATCTAAGAGATAAATAAATAACGTCTTTATTAGAAAGCGTTTCTCTGATAAATATCAGTTTTTCAGAACAACTTTTGTTATTAAACTACTACAACTACACATTTATATCTTTTAAAAACTTTTTAAACTTAATATTTAAGGTATTGTTGGATGCATCGGTTTTTAGGCTCTCGGGTAGTCCGTTGTACAATGCGGGTCCGAAATATGAGAAACTTTTCTTTCCCAATTCCAAGGTGACCCTTTAATAATTTATTTTAGGCGTATAGACACAGAGGTTGAGCGTCAAAACAAAAGGGAATAACATTACATTACTAGTAAATTATGCTTTTTGCCAATAAATTTTTAATTTTCAGAAATTAGAGAACCAAGAAATTAAGAAAAAAATCTATGAGTGTCGCAGCTGCATACTTAAAATAAAAGCTGATCTGTATTGAAATTAAGGAAGATGGATCTGTACTGGACTGAACCTGCTGGCTATAATTGGATTGAAGAAGTCAAGTGGTTGGTGAAGAAACATAAGAAGACGAGAGCAAAGAAAAAACAATTAACAAACATAACCTAAATGTCTGGTTAGCTGTCAGGTGACTAATTTCTTTGAAGTGTAAATATTTTGTTCTAAATTACATTACAATTAGAACTTTTCAAAATGAAACATAAATATTTTTTCGTTTGTGCTGGATTGTTTTTCTCTTTGAGTGTGGGCCTATTTACTTTAGTTTATTCTGCCCAGACTAAACCGTTTATAGATGAAATATTCCACATCCCACAAACTATCAAATATTGCCGTGGACAATTTGATGAGGTAAATTTTACTCTGTAATATTCTTTATAATGAATTAGCATTTAGCAAGTTACATAGTAAGTTAGGTGTTGTTATTATTTCTAGTTAAGTGTTAGCTTATTTTCATCATTTTTTTTGTAACTTAGTAGGCACCGGTAGCTTATTGATCCCTAATTTTTGTTTTAAAACTTAAGTTAAATAATAAGTTAAGTTATAGCTAAGTTGGTAATATGCCTAGGCCTAAGCTCTCCCTTATTTAATTAATTTTGAACTTATCAGACCTTAGTTAGGCCAAGTGTGGTTTTGTGTTTGGGTTTAAATTGTGTTAACTTAAGTAACTTATGCAACTTTTCTTAATAACATTAGGTCTACAGAAGTCGGTGAAATTTGTTAACATTGAATTTGCTTGTATAAGTACTTGGCAATGGTATCGAAAGCCTGTGTTGTGTGACCGTATGACGCGCTACTTATTGACTGAGCCACCAACTCACCAAATTTAAGTTATGCCAAGTAGACCTACAGTAAGGTAAGTTACTCTAGGGATATTTGATACCGCACTTGATTTTATAGGACAACTACAACAACAAAGTCCAACAAAAAATATCTCGAAATAGTGCTACCGTACTGAAACTAAAAACCTCACTAGGTGGGCCGGACAGATAGCGACCTGCGCGAGGATTTGTTGCGCATGTAAGAGGAGGTCGCTTTCTAATCGGCCAACCTATAACTCTTCAATTTGTGTAGGTACCCCCCCAGAGGTTGTCGAATTGACTTTGAAACCTTTTTAATTGGTTCTAATAAATTAATAGGCCTGCATAACAGCATAATTTTTACTTAACTTAGGTCTAAGTAGGCTATACATTTGTTTACCTAGGGATCTACATGAGTATTTTTAAAAATTGAGTAGCCTAAACAATTTTAAAATAAATGTTGATTGAACAATTAAAACTAAAAATTCTGAATAAAACTGCTTTTTACTTGCGCCTTGTCAGGTTTAGTTGACTGTCAAATTACACAGACTGTAGAGTTAGTGAGGTTTTACTGTTTATGTGATTGCTGTCTTAAGAAACGTAGACCAAAAAACAACCAAGTGCTGCGCTAATTGTAATGAAAGCATCTGCTAGGTCCGTGAATTAAAAACATGTAGGCCTATTGACTATTTTAATGTATAAAAATCAACTTTCACATTACGGTACATTTTTTTACATAAATTTAAATACAGTTTACATGTTTATATTGTTAACGTTAACATTTGTTTAGTTCCGAATAGATTGCTTGTCGTTTTATTGATCAAATCCAATCAAACATGACGGGGTGAGTATTTACCCCAAGCTCCTACAATATTGCGATAGGCGTGGGCAATTCAGGGTTGAAAATCATAAAATTTTTTCAGGTTATAAAAAACAACTTATTAATTTTAAATACCGTAGGTAATATTCTTACAAAACAATTTGTACGTTTTCAGTGGGACCCTAAAATCACCACTTTGCCTGGGCTCTACTTCGTGTCTGTTGGTGTGCTAATGCCTCTGTCTGCCGTCACAGGCCTAGATCTCTGCTGTGTCTTTGGTCTACGAGCCATCAACTTGGTTGTCTCTGTCGTCAATTTCTACTTGATTTATAAAATAACGAAGCTTCTGCATCCTAATGTGACGGTATTTCATTCAGACTATTTTGTAGCCCCTGTCACTTTAGATGTTTAAGCGATAAGTTTATAAAGTACCCCAATACTTGTGGCTGGATGTTTTTCTAAGACCTTGACAAACCAAAGCTGTTTGTTTTTAATTGAATTTGAATCAAAATTCAGTATAGAAAAAATATGATGCTTTTCAAGCACAATTTTATAAACTTATATTCTAGCCAGGATTGTGGATCAAAACCCCAAAAAGTTCAATGTTGGTTTTGAAAAAGATCTTTTACAAAAGGAATCTTCATCTATCGCTATGTAAAATTTTGTACCAATTTTAGTCTATTGAATTTATAGACATATCTAACATGTCTATTGAATAAATACAGTACCTATCTTACATACCCTTGAATAATTTAAGATTCATGGAGCATCAAACAATTGGTCATGTTAACCTTACAATCACATTTCAATGAATTGTAGGGCTAACTCCCTTATCAAAATATAGGCTTGGATGGAGATTAAAGAAAGTGATGAACATGTTACAAGATGCTAAGTGTGCTAAAGTTATTTAAAGGAAGAAATCAAGCAAAATACGGGATTTTTTACCTATGTACTTAGGGTACCTATGTAGGGAGGTGTAGGGGTGTTACCTTTGTAACAACTTATTTCATTTGTTGTACCTATGTATAATATAATTTTTACCCTTTGAGCCCTTTGATTACTGACATAAAGAAGGTTACTAACCTGTCATCAATTAATTATTTGTCGTAGAATACTATAGTTTTCGGGTTAAACCTTATTTTCAAATCTTTCTCTTCAGCCGTCAATGTCAAACATAAATCTTCTTGCATTTGCCGTTGTCTAAAATAACTTAAACACATAAACACATACAGAATCATTTAGTTTACAAAATGATATACAAGAGCGTGAGGTTGGACTAGGAAGAAAACCATACTGCAACAATCCTTAGCCGGCCTCGCGCTTGTATATAATTTTGTAAACTAAATGTCTGTGTATGTGTGAAATAACTTATTTTTTATAACAGCAAATACAAGAAGATATGTTTGACATCACCGAAGACTGAAGAGCGAGATTTGAAAATGGGGGTTTAACCCCGAAACTATAGTCATCTACGAAAAATATAGGATCGATGTCAATAAATCAATCCTGGAGGCAAATTATGTAATAATATGTTTGATTACTGTATTTTTTGATTTTATGTTCATAACAGGAAAAACAGTATGAATGGATTTAGTTTATCAAAATTCAATTCAATCAATTATCAATCATTGAGATGGGGACGCAACCTAGGTGCGTATTTAGTCGCTAAAACATGTAAAGAGAATCACAACAGCTGTTTCTAGTTTTACCACTCAGGTTTGCCACAGGAGGAGTGGAAGGTTCTGATGACCGCAGCTAACCTCGCTCTGCTACCACCTCTGTACTTCTTCACATTCCTGTATTACACCGACACAGTGTCCACATGTCTGGTGTTGTTGTGTTACCTGCTTCATCTCAGGAAGAGACCGTGGCTGTCAGCTATAGCAGGTACAGGGAACAGTGAAACTCGGATAGGCCAATAATCCAGTGATATTTTAAAAGGGATCATTTACACTGAATAAACCTTCTATTTTCGTTTGAGTTGATCTTTTTTCAGTGCTATATTAGGTGTAGTGGTGTTTTTCTGTGAATATTCTTGTACAATATTGTGCAATTGTGTCATATTGTGCTCGGCCTACATAAAAATATATTGTATTTTGTGAAAACATTTTTTATTAGTTATGATTATGGGAACTTAGAATATTAGAGGAACTTAATCACAAATGGCCCTTTAGCACTTTCAACTTTCTGTTTGGGCAGGATGGCTATTTGTGCCATCCTCACAAAAATTGCTTTTGTTAGACTTACTTGTAGTTTAAATATCTGGCATTTCTCGGAAATGTTGCACAACCCAAATCCAGATTGTGCTGGATAAAAGTGTTCTGCTGCAAAAATGAATATCAGCGCTCTGCTCTAACTCTACCATTTAGTATTTTACTAGGCTAACAACTGAAGATGAGGACACGACTGGGTGTAGGCTTATTTTTACCCAAATTTGAGTGAAGGACGAGTGTGGAATCGAGTAACACCACTTGTGTATTGTTGTGTTGAGTGTTTTAATGACTAACACAAGCTGTTTTTTTAGCAATGGTAATTCATAAAAAACCCAATAAAAAAAACCTAAGTAGAACTAATTTCAAACCATACAAATTTGCAGACTTCTCAGGACTGAATCATTCACCTCCTGATTATTAGGTAGTCACTATAATCAGTCAGTTATCCATCTAAATCATTAACTACTCAATAGTAGGTGTAACATTGAATCTTCTCTAACTTGACACGTTTACAGGTTTTATGTCAGTGGTGACCAGGCAAACCAATATTATTTGGGTTGCGTTTTTCACTTTGGAAGCGATTGTGGAATTCTTGAAAGACGAAGCAGTCTGGAGGAGGAAGAAGAAAATTACAAATGCTGTTGAGTCAAGCTTCAAGTATTTACAGGTTTGAATTTTTGTAAGAAATAAAATTTACTAGTGAATGTTTCTTAGTTTACACTCTTGTTAGGCCATCTTGTTATTAGACCTTTGTTTTGAATAGTGTTATTAGTCTATTTAAATTTCATAATCAAACATGAATGATTTTCTGTGTTAATTAATATAGGCCTGATTAAAAAAATATTTGATTTTAACTAGATTACTAGCTCATGTCCCTATAAATATTTTGTTGGTATTTTCTTACTGTGTGTGGTCTGGTAGGTGTATTCTGTTAATCGGTTAGGTAAATGACTAATTTAGTAAAGTTAATGTTGTTTTAAAATTACTTATTCCCATGTTCTACTGTTTTAATAGGGTTAAACTGGTCTTTTTTACTTACATTTTGGCGTCTACATGAGCTACAGAGGCAGGTGGGTGGAACTTACCCAGCAAAGCAAGGGTTGAGCCAGCACAGTACAAGGCTGAATTGAAATGATAAGAATAGTGGCAGGCACCTGCCTTGGGCCCGAAGTTCGTGGGGCTACCAACTGAGCCACCAACTCACTGTCCTTGCCTTATTGTACATAATTATTGTACAACAACAATTATTGTATAACAAACAATTATCATACTTCATACTAATATTATAAATGTGAAAGTTTGTGTGTTTGTTTGTTTATTTGTTTGTTTGTTTGTTTGTTTGTTTGAAGTTCAATCACACATTAACTACTGGTCGAATTGTGTTGAAATTTGGTATGATGATAGCTCACCTTCCCGATTAACATATAGACATATTCTTGCCCCAAAAATCCTTTCGGGCTCCGCCTCAGCGGCTTTAAAGTTTCCCATGTTAACCTTATGAGTATTCATATTTAAAAGGAATTAAATAATTTTGCCAGCTGTTTCAACTACACAATTTGTTTCTATGATGTTCAATAGCATTTAAAGGTTACACGGTTTTCCAACAGGGTGCAGCATCATTAGTTCTTTATACATTTATGACAACAGCTAATTTGAACCAAGCAGCAACAAAACCTGAGTGTGTGAACTTTACTTCTTTCTTTTGTTTAGGTGAAGTGGTAGAACATTATGGCTATGGTAGATGTTCTATATACTATAGTATACCGTAGATTATAGTAAACCAAATTTTCTCAAAACGTGTCCTCTCTCATTGCAAATGCAAAGCACGAGTATTTAACTGCAATAAGCATTGTATACCAACCCCGTACAAAGGACGGGTACTCAGCTAGTTGTACATAATTGTTGAAATGGTTTGTTATATTTTCTGTTATAATAACTTGATTCCTGATAGGTTATATTTTGCCGCAGGTGTTAAACTTTGCCGCCTCCGAGCTGATGAGACAAGACTCCTACCGCATTGGACACTTTATCGGCCGCGTTCTGGCCGATGTAATCGGTTATGTATTCGTCGGACTATCCTTTCTCATCTTTGTCGCGTACAACCGGAGTATCGTGGTCGGAGACAAATCCGCTCATTCTGTCACTTTACATTTCCCGCAGCTCCTTTATTTCGCCCTCTTTGCCTCTATATTCGCTTGGCCACTTTTTATCGTAAAAGTGAGGCAGTTTTTCCAAGCAGTGCTTATAAGACGTATGTACTACGTTGTCGCACTTGGTTTGTGTGTTTTAGCAATCCATTTCAACTCTATGGCTCACCCTTACTTGCTTGCGGACAACAGGCATTACACTTTCTACATTTGGAAACGTTTATTGTCGAAAGATAAACTGCGGGATTTGGTCATACCTTGGTATATTTTCGGATTGTATTGTATACAAGATTGTATCAAGCATAAAAGTATAATATTTCAAATTGCCTATTGGGGTTGTATAGTTTTGAACTTGGTGCCTCAAAAGCTGTTGGAATTCAGGTACTTTATTGTGCCATACTTGATGTTCAGGTTACAGGCCAAGCCGGGGCTGTTTTGGCAATTGTTGTTTGAAATGCTGCTCGCTCTCGCGATCAATATTGCAACAGTTGTTTTATTCGTTACCAAAACTTTCTATTGGACTGATAGTGCAGAACCGCAAAGGTTTATTTGGTGATTTTCAATATTTGAAAATTTTGTTATTGCCTTAAAATTTGTAATATACAGAGTAAAGTGTGAGATGCAAGACTGCTTTAAAACTATGGGTCTCTAAATCAGTACCTTTCTCTAGTAACACTTTACTCAAAATCTAAAATGACACTGTGTATATTTTTAAATCTATTGATCAGGTTGGTTTGCACTGTAAGAACGTATGCTAATAACTTCATCATTTGGATTTCCATATAATCAAAATAATTTCCAATTATAAATCAAACAATCTTATTAGATATCAATGTGTTACTAGTCTTGTTACAACTTTTAAGGCAGTTATTAGTGTTACAATATTTGTAACGTTAGTATTTTAGAACGGTTTTATAGCCAACTGTGGTTCTGTTTTGTGAACCATAGTTTGGCGTTTTGGGTTTATTCAAAGTATTTTATTGCAGTTTCTACATTCGCACAAGCATGTTCTTACTCTTGTACATTCTAGTTAAATTATTTAGCTTAACCCTAGAGAAAAACCGTGAGCGTTATTATGAATGAATTGAATAAAGTAGTCAAGTCTTATGGAACATTTTTGAAATAACGTAGAAAACTAGTTGAAAATAAACCCCATTCTGAGAGGGGCTAGTAGGGTAGTGAATATTTAGAAATTTGCTTCAACAATTTTGTTTTTTGCAGACGATAAAAAATTATTTCTGATTTAGAATAGTTTCATATCTTTTCTACGTTAACAAACAGTAGTCAATAGAAAACATTTTACTTAGTTTCATAAAAGTAGCTATAGCTAATGATGAATTCTATAGTTATTTATGTAACTAGTGCACTTTGCTCTCGCGTCAAACATTATATTTTTCCTACAGTTACTATAAAGCATATAAATAACTAGTCTTTCAAACACTAACACACGTTTTAGGTTAGGTTAAATTCAAGCGTTGAATGAAAATAGAACGTTAAAACGAAACAACAGGTTAAGTCGTAGTATCAAAATTCTAAAGGCTGTGAATCACTGCACCAGCTGATTGTAGTCGTATGTTTAAGTTTTGCCTACTTACTTCCAAGCGTATACGTATTACGTGCCTAATAAAACCACACTGTTTTGTGCTTTTCGGTTGGAATACTGGTGTGAGGCAAAAAAGTTAGTGTAGAAAAGTAAGTAAATACAGCAATTAGCAACTTTGCGTGCTATAATCAGTGCAAGGAAGCCTGCTTTGTCAGGTAACTGTGGGAAAAACATTTTTTATATTCATTTTAAACAGAATAATATTTTTTGTAACATACATTCAATGAGAAGCATTAATTTAAATAAGAATAACTGTACAGATACAAAATCAATAGATTAGATTTTTAAATTCTAGCTGTTATGATGGGTTGTCTTTAAAATTCCCACTATAATGTCTTGGATGAATCGGTTCAATGAAAGGCCCAAAGAAACAGCTGATCTCATGTCAGGAAAAAACCTACAAAGTTAATCTCACTCCAACATACATTCTTGCAATCATTTTCAGCTTAAAAAGTAGGCGACTTCGCTGTTTCAAAAGCCCTAATAATGTTAATAAAATAGATATACAGTTTTTTTTTTCAGCTAGTGCTCCCTCTTATCCAGACACCTTTTAACCGGACATCGGTTTAACCGGACTACAACTCGGCAGAAATGACATCTCTTTAACCGGGCAATTTTTATCAGCACATTGGTTTAACCGGACTGGATCGGCAGGAAGTGGGCAGTACTGAAACGACTGTTCTCGTGGGAAAGATTTGAGACCAGTGATCACGTGTCTAAATACAATGCTCTCCTAAATTTAAGTTGAATATCACAGTAAACAGTCCGTTTTAATGAGTTTTTGGGGACGTCGGTTTAACCAGAAAACCCGTTATCCGGACTGGCCTCGGTCCTGAGGAGTCCGGATAAGAGGGAGTCTACTGTAAGTAATTGAAGAATTTAAGTATTTTATTATTTTTACATCAATTTTGTTAAATTACAATTTATTTCACCTTAGTCTTGGCTTTATTGAAAACAAATACTGGGAGTTCGCCTGCACACTTTATAATTTTATGCCTTATGGAATTGCATCTTATTTTTTGTACTATTTACTATCTTTGCCTGTATACTATTATCACTATACAGCTTTGTGTAATTTGAAAATAATTTACTGAGATTTCAAACAATTAATACTGTTATGGATTATTTGTTGCTATAAATGTATAGATCTCATATAGTTTAGTCTCTACTTTTGTTTGAAAATATATTTAAATTTGTTAAGTGGATTCTTAAACAAAGATTTTAATTGTAAAATAGTTTAAACTTAAGGGATTTTTATATAATTCTGCACAATTAGGAAATAAAATACTTTGAACTTATGGTTGAAATTTTCTTACCTATTTGTATGTGTTAATTAATAACATAAACATAGAAAAATTTAATTCAATAATATTTTTAAAAAGGTTTAAATACCTGCTATCAAGCAATCCATTTAATTGCAGTTGCAACTAGTTTCGACTCCTATGTGAAGTCATCATCAGGCAGTACAAGGACTTCTTCTTTCTTCATATGAAGAGCGTCATATTTAATACGTAAAAATAAATAAACATTTACACACGACACAAAACACGTTACGGACACAAAACATTTACTGATCAGTTACGACAACAGACGACGCTAACCCGACGGAGTTTAAGTCCAGACTGCGGGTGGTCATTGCAGTGGTGTACGCCCGTTATCTTATCACCTCAGGTTACGTCCGAGTCCTGTCTAACACTCTTCCACTCTCCAGTATCCTTATGGCTGTGTCATATATAAAATTGGACGAAAACGTTAGTTGGTCATTTAACACATTTTCGTGGTCGGATGTTACTGCCTTATAAATCTCAAACTCTTCTAAGGTGTTTAATTTCAATTTGTCTCTAGAGAAATGTAAAATATTCATGTTGTTACTAATACTGGTATAATTGTGGCCTTGAGAAATTAAATGTTCTGCAAAAGATGATGTCTGGTGTACTCTTGACGCTTTTGGGAGATGTTCCTTGAAACGTTTTGTAAAGGAGCGTGCCGTCTGGCCGATGTAAAACTTAGTACAATCGGTACAATTGATCTTGTATACGCCGGATCTGTCTAAGGGTTGCGTCAATGAAGGACTGCGCTCTTTTAACAATGCGCCAAGTTTGTTTTCTGTTCTGAAGGAAATTGTAATATTGTTTTTTGTCATAAGATTTTTAAATTTGTTACTCATGAAGGTGCCATATTTTGCAGAGATGTAGTTTTTCTGTTTTTTAGTTCCTGTTTTATTTTTATGTTTGAAGATAAGTTTATCAATAATAATGCTTGGATAACCATTTGCTACAGCTATGTATTTTATTGTATTTAATTCTTCATTGATATTATAATAATATTAACTAAATCATTTATTTAAAGTGAGTATCTCTTAGCACAGAGATATCTTGGATCTGTTGGGGCACTGAAATATCTGCCTCTAAAGTGATGGTTGGTATTTTGGCGATGACAGAAACAGAACAAGCATTTCTTACTCAGCTGACAGTTGTCAGTTCATTTTCCAGCTGTAATCTTATCTGAATTAATTCTGGCAGTGAAAATGTCAAAAGCAATTTTGAAATTTACTCAGCGGTTAAATAAGTTTATTGATGTTTGATCATTATTGTTTGCGGACATAGTTGAAATAAAATCATTGCATGTTTGTAAATAGAAATTTCTGGAATAGAATGAAAGGTAAAAACTATTATACAAATAATATAAAGCTCGTCCGATGGTCGAAAACTCGTCCAAAAGGATGTATTGTTAAACTAATCGACTGACCTATTTCAGAATCGAACTGGAAACCTTAGGATTATTTTTGGTACTATAATTACCAAAATATTTTGAATTGCACCGTTTAAAGTACCAGTTCAACTAATTTAAAGTTATGAAAATGTTTAATTACATAGGCCTTATAAATAGTATGTTTACTTTTGTAACATAAAAACTTGCATAAAAGTTTTTATACCGTTTGCGGTATAATAACTCAACACATTTCCTCAAAACATAAATCATTACTTTGAATAATCCGAGTGGAAACTAGTTACATTTCTCTTCAAATGCAATTAAATTTCATTGTCTAAACGAACATTAGAACGTGATTACAATTCCCTATTCCACTCGAGCTCAGACTCAGACTGGGTTTGCTAAGGGAAGTGTATTGTTAATTACTGCAAAGTTGTCACTATAACGCAATGTTGTGGAGGGGTGTAGTATTAATTTAAATTAATTATTGTTTGTAATTGAAATTAATCTAAGACAAACTCATTCAAAACTTAGATTTTAGAATTCCTACAATAATGTTGTGTTGTATGAAAAACTAAAAACTAAAACTAACTGACTGGGTTGGAAATTTTACACATGGTTGATCATGAACAAGGCTATCGTGTATGCATATTTACATCCTTAAAATTACATTGGGCTACGACTTGTGAATGTAAAACGTTTGAAATAAAATTTGGTCTCAATTTATTTTATCACGAGCAAAAGTGTATTTTCGATCTTACCTCATTTAACAACTTTGATGATCAAACTAGAACCAAAAACATTTGTATTTGTCATTTATATAGTGTGAAAAAGAATTTATGCTCTGGTGATGAAAAATAAATAAAATTCTGCATTAAATGGACTAACTTCCTTAGAGCAATCCAACCTTCACAGGATTTAAACATTTTTGTGATTGGCAGAATTTGATTCTGGCTTATAAACGCATAGCTTGTATGATAGCTTATGGCTTGTGGAATAGAAGTAGCCTTCTTTAACAACTAAACTAGCTACGTAAAGTTATTATTCTAGGCAATGTGCTAAAAGGTAGTACACTTCAACCTAATGAAACATTTTAAAACACAAATAAATTATTTGTAACCTTGCAACAATTGACAAACAATTATATATAACAGCTTAAAATCGTAAAATATTAGCTTGATAAAAATAAACACTTGTGTTTTGGTAACAATATGAAGTGGTATTGATGTAGAGCTTCACCGCTCACCCCCTCCCCAACCCTACTGACGTCACTGTCCTGTAAAACAACAAATGATTAAAACTTTCTGCCACAAAAACTCCGAAACATGAAGTTCATTTGCATTGAACTCAAACTCTGTACAAACGACAATAATAAAATTCTTGTACTTGATGTCGCCACAAGGTTGTTTGAAGAGTAAAAACCAACAATATTTAATTTATTTAAAATTTTTAAGGTATGCGGTGTAGTAAACAGGGGCAAATATAAAAAAATGATAGTTGTTTAAAGATTTAAAAAAGTGTTTTAATTTAAAGAAATTGGCTAATTTTGAAAATCTTTGAACATCTGCCATTTTGCGCAGGATCAACCTTTTGAAGTGCGGTTTGCGGCATTGTTTTCAGTTGAAGTAGACCTTTAAAATGATGTACAACTCAACATAGGCTGTCATTAAAGATTTTCTTCTGACCCCCGACGGGCCGTCCCCCAAAGGTGATATCCGACTACCATGTACACAGAAAAGTAGCTTACAATTTCCAGTAACGGTATACCAAATGTGGTTGTGATATCGTTTGTCGTTAAAAAATTATAAAGTCGTCCTAAGACTTAACGGTCACCCTGTATATTTTTTATGATTTAATGTCAACAATGAAAAGGCGAGATCTTGGTAAAGTAAAAGTGGCATTCATCGCAAATAACACTTTGAATATGAACAGCACTGAGAGATAAAGTATGTGTGTATTTAAAATTACTTACCAACCTTAAGCTGGGTTTTCCTAGGCGCGTAGTCGGCCAGCGGAGAGAGGAACGCGGAGAGCGGACTCAGCTTGTCTTAGGCAATTTAATGTTACTGTTTTCCTAGAAGCGGAGCGGAATGCCATGTTAATTTCAATTCCGCTCTCCGCTGTCCGCTCTCCGCTGGCCGACTACGCGCCTAGGAAAACCCAGCTTTATATTAATCTTTGCCCCCCCAAAAAATTTTTGATTGATTCACCAATGATAGAATATAAAAAAAAAACCATTATCTACTAGGTACTTTGCAATGGACGAGGAAGCATAAAGAATAATAAAAATAAAATTACTCTAGAAAACATTAACCCACCATTAATGTGAGAAACAAAACTCAATTGAACCACTTAGTTTAATAATACTCTCGAAATTCAATTTTATCAAATTGGGACAGAATTGAATTAAATTAAAACATACTATCTACATGCTTGCACACAAAGTGAATAAAAAAATAGATCAATTTTAAACATTGTGGGTTCTGTTTTGACCAAGCTTTTAAAGAAACAATCAAAACATCGATCTTATTAGTATTTATTTAACCCTCTTTAGCAAATGTCCGAATAAAGAAGAAGCTACAGTACTACTATAGGTGGCGCGGTAAGACCTAGACCCGGGACCGATTTAATTTGTATGCATTTCGTGAACCTTAAATGTGTTCGCGAAACAGCAAGATCAGTTAATGGGAACGGGATATTATGAAATGTTTATATATTCAAAAATTGTTTTTTCTTCAAAATTATCATTAAAACAGAGAAATGCCAAATTGTCATTACAACCATCACATGCAAACACAAGAAAACTAAAACACATAACAACATAAGTTTGGGTAAGGGAATGTAGAAAAAAAACTCATAACTTGGTTGTTTGTCATCCGATTTTAACAAACAAGGTCTCATTTGATTTGGATTTAAATTCTTTATCTTTTTGATCTGAAGAACAATTTTATTACAATTTACGGTTTTCATGAAATTTGGCATTAAAGATTTTAAATAGCCGCCATGTTGAAACGCCTTGAGATATTGGAACGAAACTTTGTAAGCTCTTTTTACCTAAAAACCTTTACTAAAATACACATTTATACCAATTTTGAAATTTCTATCTCGAAAAATGCCCAAGATATAAAATCATTCTTAAAGATCACAAACAGACTGACAAACAGAAATCTAGGCATTTTAGAGCATACTTATGTGGCATTTTATGTTTGTCTTAGCCCAGTGGTGGATCCAGAGGGGGGGGGGGGGGGGCGAAGGGGGTGACCCCCCCCCCCTCGGGCATACATATATGTATGTTTTTACTGCATGTAATACAGTAGTGAACTAATACACATTAACACATTGCGTAAAATAATTTGTCACACTAACTTTGGACAATGAAATGGTATAAAACTGCCATTTTGGAAACTTAGTTTACACAAATTTTTCAGGTGGGTACCCGAAACCCCCCCCCCAGACTCCCCGTTTCGCCCCCCCCCCCCTTGTGACTGTTCTGGATCCGCCACTGTACACTTAGCCTAAGGAACAAGTCCAGAAAATATGGAAACAGCCTGTATAGTCT